GGAAAAGGAAAAGGAAAAGGAAAAGAAAAAGAAAAAGGGAAGGGATTGGTAGTTATAACATTTATATATGTATAGGGATTTGTTGGTTGGATGGATGGTATGAAGCATTATGTGGAGTGATGATAGGAGTGGGATGGGAATGGGAATGGGGATGGGGATGGGGATATTTGTATGTGAGGTTGTGAATAGTGGTGGTGATGATGATGGTGATGATAATAATGATGAGAACAATCTATTTTTATACTACTCGAGTAATACCACGAAACCTGATACACGGTATTTATATCTATATTAATATATATATACTTACTTACCGCATGAGTCTACATCCCCCCGATAAAGTACTCAGTATAACAATCCTTTACATTTATGGGAATTTGTAACATATAGATCAAGAGCAAGAGCAAGAGCACGATATAGGAATCATTCGCATCTCATGTATATACTTGTGTTTGACGAGTTGTTGGAGAAACTTGACTTGAACATCACTTACTATGGGATAAATAAGAACACTGCAAAATTGTTCTTCGATTGATTTGTTGATCTATATAGATTCGTAAATTCATCATGAAAATGAAAATGAAATTGAAATTTAATAAAAGTGCAGCGTAGTTGTAGTTGTGGTTGGGATTGAAGAAATCTCGGCATGATTCATTTTATTTGGGGGGGGGAGGGGGGGGGGCATGTATTTTTTTTGGTGTGATATTAATGAGATATTGATGTGATATGATGGAAGAGGGAGAGGAAAGAGGAGATGTACGGTGAACGTACTCGTATACTATACCAATGTTATAAGACTACTGTAGAATTTAGAGGCGCTCAGGCTCCAGGGGGAATTGGAGGCGTGGCTCACGAGATGGGTTTGGGGTTGTGGTGGTGGTTTGTGTGATGGAGTTGGGGTTAGGTGGGGTGAGTAGGACTGAGAATTGAGGATTGGGATTGGGATTGGGATTGGGATTGTGATTGAGATTGGAGTCGTGAAGATTAGGGATGGTTAAGGATTTATGTAGTACAGGTTTATTGGATCGAGAAGATAATTGATGGTTTACGGAAATGACCGGGGTATGTTAGCTATAGGGTAGTAGAGAGAGATATGGAGAGGTGTGGAGAGGTTTGAAGAGGGGTTTATTAATCGGGTATGTAGTAGGTGGGATGAAATTTATGGCGTGATGATTTGTGTTTGTGCGTGCAGTGTGGGATTCGGTGGAAGGTGAGGACATTTGCTTGGACAGATATCGAGTCATCGAGATACAAATTTCAACCACAGTTGAGAAAATAATTGCTTAATAAATAATGAGGGGGAAGTCAATACACTAGTTCCCTTCTCATCAATATTGGAGAGACAAACGAACTTCATGGTGGTGGATATTTATCTGTGTTGCTTCCTCAAAGCAGTAGACAACATTTTCTTGTGCAATAGCAACCAGGTTTTACCCACTTAGGGTAGCCAGCCTACAAGTTCACGTGGTGACCAAACACAGGAAATTGGTTGCACGTGGTACGAGAATAGTGTATCAAAAAGCTTGCCAGCGTTGAATTTCAATATATCTTCACATTACACAGTATAAGAAGGACCATGGTAGAATAATACCGAGATTGTAGGAGCGCAGACACCTCGTATATAGGAATTGATTTGAGTGACCATACAATGTAGCTCTGCTTGTATTGGTACTCGTACAATTGTGTGATGAATACCAGCTGGAAGAGATAAAGATAATCATCAGGAACTATCATGCGTTGTATGCCGTGAGACAGTAACACTGCATCGTATCTTCATGGCTGAAGCCTATTCGGCCCACGCCGTTGTTCATTTTTCACCAATAAATCGATGGATGGGAATTTTTGAATATGCTGAGCTAGAGAACTTTCTCGGCTGGCTTAAGATTCTTGTGTTTTTCCCCTTTTGGATAGAGGGGAAGGTTTGGACGGAAAAATCTGAAGTGGCAAGAAGGAGAATTCCACGTGGGAAAGTATTTCGGTTTGTGTTTATGCTACGGATGATAAAATATTTTCTTTTGCGAGAATAATGGTCAATATATGCACTACACGATGGGGAACCCTACCGTATAGTAATAATCTTATATCAAGTGAGCAAGATTGTTAGATTGTTGATTCTAGAGTTTAATATTGCATGGGATAAGAAGAAGCAATGATAATCGAAAACCGAAAAGTACTAAAGATGGTTTGGAAGCAGTGTGCAGCTGATGCGGAAGTACTTGCCAACATTTAGGGAATAGACCACTGTTAGTAGGTGTTCGTCGGACACACCTATCATTGAGGTTGAGGTCAAATCCTTAAACTACCTGCCTAGGTGGAGATAGGGATCTGTAAAGAATCTTTTGATGATTCGTGAGCTTCCAGCCCCCAGAATTCGATATTTGATACCGGTATCTTCTCCGCGGTTGGAGCAATGTAACATATACATCAGACATTTCTTAAAATAGAGACGGAAGAGGATATCGCCATACATGATATCAAGATGGTCCAACTCGTGTGTATTGTTCCAATGTTTAAGTGAGACGGGTTCGGTAGTGCTCCGCTCGGAGACTGTCCCTCCAATCGCATGTATTTTCAACCTTCATGAAAATTTCGAAGCTTCAAACCTGGATATAGATAGAAGTAATCTTGTCTTCTATCAGTACAAACTCTGACAATTAATCTTGACACAAACGACGATGGAATATACTTGCCACAAATGGTCAAGTGTAGTATTTTGGACCAAACACTCACATCTGCTAACCAACCTTAGCAGGGTGTGTTTGCAATCGGACATAAGTACACCTAAATAAGCTTCGGCGGGATGCTGCATATACTAAGTGGAAAATCCCCTATATATCACCCTTTCCACGTTCCGACAAAACATGCTTAAGGAAAGGGTCTGGTTTCAGAGATTACAACGCTTTGCCTATTCTTAAGTGTTTGTTTCCTCTTTACCAAGAAAGCCTTGCCCCGCTGTGGCTGTCTGTGGCTCTATAACTTGGATCATTTTGCGCCATTTGAAATTTCCGGGGAACATCAAATCACCGGGATGGCAAATCCATTTCTAAAGCGGTGTTGTGCTGTAGTCTTGACAATAGGTTGCCGTTTTTGGGATCTGGAACTGAATAGAGACGTCAGAATCGTTTCCTCTTGGGATTTGGTGTGTTATACTTCATTGAGAAAGCTAGGAATAGGTAATAAATACGTATAGATACAAGGTAGGTGGGGAGTTATCATAAATCAGTAGGTATATAAAATCTGTTGGAAGATTAAATATACTTAAGAGTTCAGTGTGGTTAGCGTGGTAGCCCAGCTAGTACTTTTAGCGCAAGACTAAATTTCTTGTACTCTCCAATCTCACTCTCACTCTCACTCTCACTCCCACCATCAAATTTCATACCTCACTGCACACTGTACACCAAGAATTCCATCAACTTGAGATCTATTTTCGGATAAAGATACAGATACAGATGCAGATATAGATGACCTTGCCGACGCCATCAAATGATTTCAAACCATCTATTGAAACTCATGCAAACGAATGGGTACCGGCAGAGCCTTTGAGTCTACAATATCTTTCTACATTACTACTGAAACAAGTCTTCGACATTGAAGATGAAGGTGAAGATGATCAATTGACCGCAGACTTGGAAATATCCATGCCCTCTCAATTTCATGCGAACACAAACGGCGACCAAGGATAGCTTAACTTCAGCTACCCCAAGCGAATACAATTGGATACCAGCAAAAGGTCTACTGGGATACTAGCTATTAACATTTCGTTTGTTGTTTCACGGGATAGCGTAGTATCCTAGCAACTAAAAATTACAGATACCTAGTAGTACTGTCTTCCGGTCAGTCGGAGAAAAAGATTTCAGATTGATCACCGCAAGCGCAAAGACCCAAAATCTTTCATGAGTTAAACTATTCTTCACATCTTTTTCTTGACGGTTGCCTACACCGAAATTACTAACCTTCAAGGTTGAGTATTTTCCATAACTACGCGTTCCAAAAATCAACGAGTCCCCCCACGACTAGATCTACATTAAGGACCACACCAGAAAAATTGGAGCAAGGTTATAGCCCTAAAGGTGTGGAAACCAGGGTTCTCGTGTCCCACGTGTATGATCCAGTTATTCTGGCCCGCTATCTCTGGTAAATGTTCTCCACATACATGCATTGTAGCTGAAGCTCATGCTTGTATTTGACAGCATCTAGGACTTCCTAAACCTGAGCCTTTCTTTTCAACTTTGTTGTATCTATCTTTCAGTACTGTTTCATCTTGAAAAAACATCTCAATTCGTTTCTTCAACATCCATTGGGCGTTTTGATTCATTCACATTCGTTGTAACTGTGTAGCTACACAAGGGCATCTCAAGACTTGACAAGGCGGTACTCAGGTTGCCGGATATCCTTGACATACTCTTCTGTATGTATTCACATGTGGATATCGTTCTTTGCTATTTTTTAGTTAAATTCAGCGGCCTTTAGGCGCACCTCTCGTCATTCCTGAGCTTCTTCTAATAGGATACATCTAATGGGATAAATAGTCATCCGATTCACAAGTAGCACCTCTCCACGTTTCTACAAATTTAGATCAAACCCAACCAATGATCAGATAAACCCCTTACAACTATCCTCAACCTATCCGTTTCACTACCAAGAACACAGCTGCGATGGGTTTAGGGAGTTATTTCAAGGCGAGGAAGCCTGAGGAGGAGATCGAATCACCACCCTCTGCTATCATTGAGAAGCAAGTCCCTACCATAAACTCACAGACGGGTTTTGATACCATGGATCTTCAGCCACCTATCACTCGGTTTGCTTCTTCGTCATCATCAAGAAATTCCATCTCAAATCGCTCACACGCCAGCTCAAACTTTATGGAAGATATAAAACACGAGGTTATGGTCAACTACCTCTACCAACAACAATGTTCACATCTCTGGGTCAGTGATGGAAGCGGCGAAATTGAAGGTGTTCTGTTGAGGAAATCAAGAAACACATACATGGCTTGCCCGCCACAATTGGGCAGTTCTCCTTTTGCTGCAGCCTGTGCAGCTCTAAATGTTCAGGTGGGAACTTTTGAAGCCTAACCTTATTTTCGAGAAGCTAATTGCCCTAGTGCGCAATGACTGTAAATTCTCGAGTTATCAAGACTTTTCTCCAATGCTCACCAAATGCTGTCGATGTCCCCCTTCTCAACGGTCTCCGGATACAGATCCTACCAACAATTGAAGACTTACCTCGTGCGAGGAAACTCCAATTCGCTGCATTTGTAGCATCTGAAGCTTTGCTAGTCGTATGGGACGACGAAGCATTGCATCTCGTCCAACGAGCTCAGGCTATTGAGTCAGAATTGATGGAATTGGTGTGGAAAACTGATCAAGAAGTAGACGATGAAAAGAAGGGTCCAGGTGTTGCCACTTGGGAAATTGATGAAGAGAGCGGTCAACCCGTTCCAGAAACGCGTGGATTACACTTGCAAAACACAGTTCTGGTTGCTCTTACGATCATCCTGATCATCACAACTCTGGGCGCTGGCATTCGGCAAGTGGCTATTGAGACTGATGTCGACCATAACTATACCCGTTTTACACTTTTGATCTTAACTCCTGTTCAGGTTTTCTTCACACTCTTCTTTGCTCAGGTAATAATTGGTTGTCTGGCTCAGCTCTTCGGACCTGTGCAGCAAATGAGTATCAACTCCAAATTTTACTCCGCTAATCCACCACCCCGTATTCTTGATGGAAATCTCCCACACGTCACCATCCAATGCCCTGTTTACAAAGAGGGACTTCATTCCGTTATTGCGCCCACAGTGAAATCTATCAAGCAAGCCATTTCTACATATGAATTGCAGGGTGGCTCAGCCAATATGTTCATCAACGATGATGGTCTTCAAATCATTGACGCTCATGAGCGCCAAGCTAGAATCGAATTCTATGCTGATCATAGCATTGGATGGGTTGCTCGACCGAAGCATGGAGACAATTTTATCAGGAAGGGGAAATGTAAGTTTCTTTGATCATAATGATTGAGGTCCGTTCGCTAACTTTTTGATAGTCAAAAAAGTAAGCCACCGTCACGCCATTGATGCCTACGATACCGAAGGGACTTACAATCCTTCGACGTGCAATCTTGGCTTCTTAAGATACTACCATTACTAACCACTTTTTACAGGCTTCTAATATGAACTTTGGACTTCATATCTCTTGCATGGTCGAGGAAAAGTTGGCTTTGATTCAAAGACCTCTTGATTGGACTCAGGCAGATGAAGCACAAGCATATGGAAGATGCCTCACAGAAGCCTTGGAAGACAATGGTCGTGCATGGGCCGATGGGAATATTCGCATTGGCGATTATATCTTGTTGAGTAAGTCCTGCTAACCCTGCTGGAAATGGCTTGTCTGACATATTTTAGTTGATTCGGATACTCGTGTCCCCGAGGATTGTTTACTAGATGCTTGTTCCGAGATGGAACAATCACCTGAGGTTGGTATCATGCAATTCTCATCCGGTGTTATGCAGGTCGTCAATACCTACTTCGAAAATGGCATCACATTCTTCACGAATCTGATATATACTGCTATCCGATATACCGTTTCCAATGGGGACGTTGCCCCATTTGTCGGTCATAATGCTATTTTGCGATGGTCAGCGATTCAGCAGGTTTCGTATGAGGACGAGGATGGTTACGAAAAGTTCTGGTCGGAATCTCACGTTTCTGAAGATTTTGATATGTCTCTTCGCCTTCAAGTCAATGGATACATTATTCGCTTGGCTGCATGGGCTGGTGAGGGATTCAAGGAGGGCGTATCATTGACTGTGTATGATGAACTTGCCAGATGGGAGAAATATGCATATGGCTGCAACGAGCTACTCTTTCACCCAATCCGTATGTGGTTCTACAAAGGCCCATTTACCCCTCTCTTCCGAAGCTTCTTGTTTTCCAACATTCGTTTTACCTCCAAGGTCACAATTATCTCATACATTGGAACATACTACGCCATTGGAGCCGCCTGGATCTTGACTACTGCCAATTATTTTGCTATCGGATGGTTCAATGGATACCTCGACAAATACTATGTCGACTCTTGGAAAGTCTGGTTTTCCATCGTCATCGTGTTTAACGGCCTCGGGAACATTGCCTTGGCAGTCATGCGATATAGAATTGGCGAACGTAGCCTCGGGTATGCACTCTTCGAGAACTTCAAGTGGACTTTGATGTTAGCAATCTTCCTTGGTGGACTTTCGCTTCATGTTTCACAAGCACTCCTTGCGCACATGCTCGAAATAGACATGACCTGGGGTTCGACATCCAAGGAGGCTGAGTTCAGTAACTTTTTCATCGAAGTACCAAAAGTCTTGAAGAGTTTCAAATTCTCCATGATCTTTTCTGTCGTGGGTATAGTAGGCATGATCATTCTGGCCACTGCTTCATTCATCCCATATGATTGGCGAATCCAGGATTTTGTTGCTATTCTTCCCATGGCCACAGTCACTGCTAGCCATTTGCTTTTGCCGCTGGCTTTAAACCCGGCTCTTATGACATTCTCTTGGTAATCCTGCTTTTACGGCTTTCGTTTTTTTGCTTACGGCGCAGAGCTGGCTTACAAGGATGTGCACGCGGTTAGATATTGAGCGTAGCTACATGTTAAACATAATTCATATTGCTCCAGGATTTCTTTTCAAATTACACAATTTGGGTGGCTGCATATAGAATCGAGGGTTGTGGCTGGTGTTAGAAGGTATTGGAAGCTGTGTAGATTCAAATTGTAGGAATGAGCTTAATTATTCTTAATTATCGGTACTGATGTCTATCCAGCTCGATTCATGTCAACATGACTGGATTGAGAGTGGGAAAATTATGAAAAACATTGGAAAAGGGGTGGAAAGGGAGGGTTTCGGGTGTTGCTGATTGGAGATCAAATGGAGTTATGCATGAAGTTGTATCTCAGAGCTATGTATGATCATTCGAGCAAGATCAAGGACGTGATATCCTATCCTAAATCCATGGCCACTGAATCTTCAAAACGCAAGTTTTCCAGTCTTGACACTCAAGGGTCGATGAGATGTACCCAACACGTGCTTCACCAAGTCAATAAGGTATTCGTCCGTCCCTATACTTGTTAGATCATTTCTTTCAAAACCCATTCGTATTGTGAGTCTCACCTGGAGCACCTAGTAACATCAAGCCAACAGGCTGATACTCATCCACCCCTGTAACTTTCGAATGGTAAAGCCTTTGTCCCACTATTTGATTTCTTCAGCATATTTTTAAACATTTCTAGTTCGGCGGGAAAACATACCTGGGATAGAAATAGCTGGTCCCCCACCAAGTGCGGAAAATGCAGTCACAGGAACGTTGAATCCTTGCCATTTCGCACCCCATTCCTCTACAGAACTAGTTTGTAGTTAGCATCAGGGTTCCATCAGAGGAGGTACATGGAAGCAGACCCAGAATACTCATCACGATAAAACACATCTGGTTGACCGTAGGGTAGGATCATGACCCCGCCGTTACGAAAGATATGATCTTGAATGAATTTGGTAAACATTTCTTTCTCCTCTAGCGCGGTGGTATGTTGTTCGCTGGTGAGTTCTGCACCGAGGTTCCTTTACATCTGTTGTTAGAAAATGTTGGTACTGCGAAAATCATAAACGTACCATTTGTAGCGGAGTAATGGTTCGACATATGGCTCAGTGCCAAACTTCTCTCGGTAATCTGTTCGAAATGGGACCGTGTTGTTGTAGTGACCATAGAGTTGAAGATGTGCTAGGGTCTTCCAGAATTAGATTCGATTCCCTTCGTCTATTTGGAGTACTGATGCAACTTACGGTATCGAAAAACTCCGCAAACTTCTTTCCGGACAAGCTTCCTCGTGCATCTGACATCCACAGCTCATCCATGGTGATCGTAGTGCGACGAAGCTGGGTGGCTTTCTCAAAATCTTGTATAAAGTTCTCCATAACTTTCTTTACCTCTGGAACATAACTTGCATATGTTTCAGTAAGGATGGTTAGCTTCGTTGGCATCTATTGAAATCGGGTCAGTCAATCGTTCACATTGATTAGTGGAAATGTTACCGCAAAAGAAAGTGTTGAATCCGACGAGCCGAGCCATAATCTTGTGACGTCACTGAAATCTAATATCTTCCGACTGAAAACTCCAGGCGTATCAAGATATCTAGCTTGTTAGCCCAACGTCTCCTCAAGTTTTGAAAAGCAAACCTACGATGATACCGGGACAACACCTTCGCAAGAGATACGGCCATGAGTTGGCCTAATACCAAACAGACCGTTAGCTGCCGCTGGACCCACCATACTTCCGAGTGCTAAAATATTTGTTAGTCAAATGATTCCTCCCAAAATATCATCATACTCACAATCCGATCCGATAGTGAAATCCAACCACTCATATCCAGCAAGTGCAGCACCACTCCCTGCACTACTACAGTCTGCATCAAGATATCCACAACCTCGAGGATTAAACGGTGGCTGGTAGTCTACCCAATCTCTTGGGCCCATCCCGGATGAAAACGGAGTTGTCTTGACCTTTCCGATTATCACAGCTCCTTGGTCAATAAGCTTTTGTATTGACGGAGCTGTCTTGCTTGATGTATCTTGGAGGGCTTCGTAGGCTTTGCTACAGACAGTGGTCTTGATACCTTCGAGGTCAAAGATATCTTTCACCGCTATGCGCTTACCTGCGAGAGGAGCCCGGGGAGTGGGCGATAATAGCGAGTATAGTCGAGACGGAACGGGGATATAATTCATGGGTGCTTTCTGGTAGCTGGTAAGAAGCATTAGCATCAAAGCAAAATCCAAAGATGGGTATAGTTGATACCGATTGCTTCCGAGCGAAGTTGGTACGGTGCCACAGACAAATGAACCGAGGGGGTCTGAGTACAGTCTATAGACTGGATGAATGGTTGAACCAATCAAGATGTAAGGTCCTGTAGGGAGAGGGTCTCCTATGTATCTGAAACTATTGGTACCGGTATCCTGGATCTGAGGCGTACCAAAGCTGGTTACGCAGCTCAATACTCCAGGCTTCTTTTGCGCAAAGGCATGGCGAGTAAAAGCCTTGCACCATACATCGTCTAGCTGGGAGAATTTTTCATATTTAGATTTCAACCATGATGGAGTGATATTATCATCGTCTTCAGCAAGAGAGAGGATAGTTACTGGCTCTGGGCCTCCACTGGAAACAAGTCTGATATTGGTTGGCAACCCGGCTCCAAGAAGGTACGAATTTGTGCCAATATCGACGATCAATTTGTGAGGTTGGGGGGAAGTCATGATGGTGTTGTCAATTTCGTTCAAATGTCACTACAGAACTTGTGAGACAGAGACAAAAACAGAGATTCTTCTACACGTCCTTCGAATTTATTTGATAAAGGTTGGTGATGTGAGATGCGGGGATGAATTGCTGACGAAAGTGTGACCTGTACATGCATACAATACGCAGCACAGCCACACTTACTAGCCAAATATATAAACCCTCTTCCTCAAAAACAACTCTCTCAGCATGACATTAACCATAGATCCCAACCTATCAACACACAAATTCCAGCATAGCTATCCAATGTAAAATCGACATCGACTCTTACGAGGGAAATACATGACTTGTGGTTATCCTTAAATACAATGAGGAACCACTAAGATCTGATAGTGCGGCAGAATTGAGAGTTCTTGATGGTATTCTGATGAGTATATACTCGAGTATGACGGGATGGGATGCAATTGTTTCCTAGTGAGATGACATTCTAACGATGATGATATCTAGGTAGATATGATTTGATGCGGGTAAGGGAATTTTGACTAATGATACGGGGCTATTATATTCATTTGATTGATTAATCAAGTAATCTTTTTGCGAGAAAGAGATGTACCTACTGGTATGCGAAGGAGACATTTTATGCAGTCCATGGCACCATTTCGAAGTTTGATGGAAGTGGTGTGATTGGAATATCGTGATTATGCACCGTATTGGTAACATCTTACCATGCGCCACAAGTTGAACGCATGTTTGAGCTCCACCCTTCACCCTTCCACCCCGCACTCAATCCCCCCAATCCCTCAACCAAGCCGCCACAAATCTATCTTTCAATATATCCCTCCTTCACCAAATCAAGCTCATTTCTCATTTCTCAACCTCCTCAATATCTCTCTCCGCCTTCCCAATCTCAAATTCACCCATTCCTCCCTCGTTTCCCTCACCATAAACCCTCTCAATAATCAAGCAATTTGATCGTTGAATTTTGCTCAACACAAGTAGTGTTTGCACTTTTCCTGAGTTTAGCTATCCAGAAAGAGGTTGTGAATGGCGTAAACTTAAACTTAAGATCTGATGATTTGAGCAGTGGCAGTAAGTAGTGTTGCCAGCCGTGAAAATGTTTGGGGTGAGCGGAGGCTGTAAAGTATAGTATCTCTGGAATAGTCGGGAGATATGTTAATTCGAGAACTATACATGCTAATGTATCGCCGGGGAGCCAGGAGCAGTTCTGTGAAGTGTGGTTAGTTAGCGGGGTGTGATGATATTCCTCACTGTATGTATATATGACTTACGATGTTTAATCTTGGGAGGATCTCGAGCGTCAATGCATATCTAATTATAAGGGGTATCGCTTCGGTATCATTCCAGATTACCAACTGTGCGTCTCCTAAAATCTGTCCAATCCTCAACACATGAACGTCCACATCATATTTTTTAGATGCTCGGCGAGAGTTTGTGAGTTATGCTGGTCGATGAAGTCGCGACCTAGGATGACAAACAATTTATGTAACCCTATCATTAGGTCTAGGTAGGTCAAGGTATCTGTTTCATGATATAAAATGAGGTTCACCGAAACACCTACATGTGCTTTCCGATTCTCATCCAATCAAGTAATCTATTCAGCAACCCTTTTAGAGCGCCCGTCGCCCCCCGTAGCACACTGAGATATCTCCACAAAATCCTCCAGACTAGTAATTGTGGACTGCGCCCCCATAACCACGGAGAAAGAAGAGCCAAAAGAAAAATCGTGCGGGATTAGTAGATGGGGTTAAAAGAGATAATTAAATAAGGTTTATAGACTCCCGCAAGATCCGTCTCAAAGACTTAAGAGTCGACATGGGAGTTGACGGCCCAGGCTGTATGAATCCTATGAGTGACTTCATCCTTCACTTGTTGAGCTGTTGATGCTTCGAGTCCCAAATTGTAACTACAGTACTGAGATTGCAGGTCAGTGATACGATTCGTGAATCGGAGGAGATCTCGCCAAGGCCCCTTTTTCTCAAGGACTGCGTAATTCGTGCACGGGGATTGGGATTTTCCCCTCGCACTAAATAATAGACTTGGGTGATATTGTGGTTAAGTAAGAATTGTGCCAGTATATAAGCACCTAAGGAACCAGTGGCCCCTGTAAGAACCTACAAACGTTAACAACAAAAGCGCAAATGAATGAATCAAGAAAACGTACCACAACTTACTTTCCAGAACCGTTCCTGCCCGGAGCATGTGGATCGAAGCTGGAGTACTTCGTGATAGACTTTATCATGGCGTCGAATAAGTCATACTTTTCTGTTATATGTTCACCTTTTCGAATCGCACATAGTTTCTTGCTAGTTTAACAATATCTCCAGATTCGAAAACTACATTTCGACTCAAATTTCGAACATTGCCACCCATTGATAGCCCCGTCAGAATCAAACCTTTTGCTTGGAAAGATTTGAGACTATCCGTAACAGCAGCCAAAAAGTCATCTTCTGCACCGGAGAGCTGGATGCCTAATGTCATCGACAAATGTTTTCATAATATATTGTTCAAGTTCCGATTCCAATTCCTCGAGCTCTAGTGTTCCCTTCTCCGTATCTTCAAATCGCTGATATACCTGCTCTATCTGTTCAGAAAATTTGTGATATACTTGTGCGCGTATGATAGACCCTTTATCGGTCATGGATATTCAGTTGCAGTCGGGAGAGCGAGTATCAAATTTCTGTCGATTTGTGAGAAACTTTCTGTATTCGCATTTGCCTCTTCAATAGCAGGCTAAATTCTGTCGATAAATTCCTCGTCTGACATCCCTCGCGCTGCTTCTGAGCGGATAAAGAGAATTCCTGGTAAAGCCCTTTCAATCCCAAAGACTACAGCTTCCCTGACAAGTAGTTCGTATCTAAGTCGTTCTTCCATCAACATTGGAAGAACTTTCTCTCCATTCATTAATGTATAATGTAATATGTAATTCGATCATCAATCCTACCTAAATATTTCCAGGCGTTGGGAATTGTAGGATGTGTGGTGAAGATATCCTTAGAATGATAAGATCAGGGAGGATTATCCGAGTTTGAAGTCACTAGTTGCGACAAAGATGATACAGTAGGAAGACACTTTCATACGTGTTGTCTCCGATTGGTCTCATCACAACTGATCACTAGGTGCATGATCTCGACTTGAACTAAACGAGCCAAACTGCGTTCTAGATTTATGTTCAGCGGTCTGTGAAGCATAAGGATTGACTCTTTAGCTGATATTTACACACCCAAAAACGTATTTAGTATAAACCCCTTATTTTCAGTACAATAAACGAGTTAGAAATCCCTCATCATTGGGGCATGTTTTAAAAACAACGGAAATCCTGAAATATCATGGGATCATAGATGGGATACGCAGAGTGAAATATCCGAACAGATTTCTACACTGCATAGTGTAGAAATCAAACAACCAATCATGCTCACTGGCATATAAGGTAATCACCAGACTATCTAGGCATAAGGCTCCGAGAAAACAGGACATCAGCACAGCTCGCCATGGCTTCAACCCCTCTCTAACTTCCTCCAAGTAATTTAAGAGCCTAAGGAACCGCATGCAAAACGTAAAGCTTAATATTTTGCAAGACCTCAACCAAACCATCTGCTGTCATCGGTACGTACAGTAGTAGCACTGTGCATATACATGATCTTCCTCATCCACATCGTATTAATGCAGACTTTATTTCCCCAACCATGATATACGGTAGCGGAAAATTTGTGAACTCGCAAGTTCCTTAGTTCCTTCTTTATTAGATACGATACAGTGGTAATGAAACGGTTGTGGGGTTGATATACGAGTACGAGTATAGATTTTGGAAGGCCAGTCGATCCTGAAGAATAATATATTATCGCTATCTTCTTTCTTTCTTTCTTTCTCTCCTCATACTTATTAATCATTCGAAGGCAACGAGGCTCCTCGGGGAATTTTCTGCGTTATCATAAAGATCACGCATTGCCATAAAATTAGAAATCATCGTTAGCCCTCGAGGAATAAAATCTCTTTTTGAGCTTATAACAAGTTCGGAACCAGTAACCAACCTTATTGATAGATTCGGATGAACGATAGTATCGCAGTCTATCTGTCATCTCAAGAAGATTTGTGATGGATGGCGGGTGCTGCAAGTCTTGGTGAAAGCAAGCAGGAGGACGGTGACACGGTGTTATCCCAATCTACTTGATGCAAATAATGACACCACATAATAATCGAGATCGGATGGATCTGCGAGGGCAATCACTTTGCTTTGCTCCCTCCTTGATCACGTCAGTGAAATCATTTAATCAATAAATGACCTTTCCAGATTCACCAGTGCACAAATACATTTTATATATTCCTCAGCAACTCGATCAACGAATCTGTCTAGATCTATCTTGTCCAGTGAACAGCTCGAAATCAGCTGCACCTTTACCAGACTGTGAATAAGTAGAAATGGGGACTTGATGTACATCGCCTGCTCTAACAGTTTAACTGTTAAAATATAATCAAGGATGAGGAATTTACCAAGATGCAACGCAGAATCGTCGGGATATATAATGATATACAGTGTATTGATGAAAGTCATGATTTAATCGTCTAGATAGCTCTGATCTTAACATACTGAAGCTTTCAGGCTGGAGCGGGGGGCATGATACAAGCAAATGAAGAGCGCCGTCGAGCAGTGATTTGATAGTGATCCCAGTTTATATGGAAATCAGGCTTGCCGAGCTGCGGTGCTATGAGATGAGAGTAATTATGCGATAGATGGTATGCTTTGTTTCCACACCAGAATCCTTTGATTTTCCCATGCTCAGTACATCCGGGAATAAAGCGCGCAAGTATGTACGTACTGGTACGGTATCGCACACCACGAGCTATCAACAACTAACCTCTTAGAAAGCCATTCTATGACGAAGCTTAGGAGACTAATTTGGATTCTTGTCTGTACAATGTACTCGAGTGCAGTGAATAGTGCTATTTTCGGCATTATAAGGGAAAGGATTGGTATGATATAATATACGATCAGAGCGCCAATGCTGTAAACTTGGAGAAGCCCGTGTTTAAGCTCCAGCTTGACATAATTGTGAGATTCATTGAGATAAATCTCGTTTGTCAATATCCCCGCTTAACATTGAAACCCAAAATTCTATCATGTAGGAGATATCACAATCTTGTTGGCTATTCAGCGTTACGATCTGCTCGTAGAACTCCCGATTTCATAACATCTAACCATTTCGGGTCAATCGCCTCTTCACTGATATATGGTGATATATCAGCACCTTCCGTACGATTTTCAATTGTGAAGCCAAGCCCTAGATATGCCCATCTATATCTATATTAGCGCCAGTATGGCAAGCTGTGACACGAAACAAAATCAGGTATACTTACGGGTTATATTTATTCTGGTAAGTAATATTGTAATCTTCGTATCTTGGGTCTTCGATCACCTGCATATAATGTAGAGAGCTTCCGGGGAAAACAGCATTGACTCGTCCGGTTTCGTTATCTTCCTCAAGTTAGCAATCGAAAGTCAAATGATAGATATGGCACTGTACTTTTGTACCATGATCGGCACCCTGAGCCTGAGCTCCACACGGTTTGCTTCATGAGTTCTTGCGTGTGTGCATTGAAAAGATCCGTCATGTCTTGCTTTGGAGCGATAGACTTTATAAACTCATTCTGCATCTTCTTGATAAACTTAATAGCATAGTTTGCTACCTGGCCAAGAGGCCCCATGACAGATCCATTCTCTACGGGCCATGTTGGACCGATGAAAGTAATGAAGTTAGGTATGTCTGGTACTGTGATACCTATGGTTTGTTAGGCGATGACAATTTGGCCAGGAGTGCCAATTCGACTTACCAAGATATGATTCAGGAACTATCTTCCACTTTTGCCGAAGGTCAACGCCATTTTGTCCAATAATCTGGAAGCGAGGCTTGTATGACACATCAAAGCCTGTAGCACAGATTACTGTATCTACCTTACGTGCCTGGCCTTCGCTATCGATGACCGAATCTTCTGTAATTTCCTCAACAGCAGAAAAGTGAACATCTACATTTGGCTCCTGGATTGCACCCATATAAGGATCACCTATATAATTAGCCCGAGGACCTGATCATTCATACTGAGTACTTACCAGGGGTTATTCTTCGACACCCGATTGAAAATTTTGGGGTCAAGCCTTTCAATAGCCTTTTATCTTTGATAAACTCCTCCATCCGTGCTGTAAAAACCTTTTGAGTTTCTTTTTGAGCTTCGCTGTCCTTGAAAAATAAACCCCATATACTGTTCATCTCATTCTCTAAGTGTTTTGCATGCTCTACTAGGGCAGGCAAATCATTTCTGAACTTTTCGCGTTGCTCTGGGGTATATTTTTTCCCACTCCCATCATTTCCTGCGAATGAAATGAACCAGATAGCTGTGCGCACGTAAACGTCGATGTGTTTAACATAAGGTTGCATTGTGGGCAATGTCTGAACCGACGAAGCCCCGGAGCCAATGATTGCTACTGACTCATTCTTCCATTGCTCTTCTTGGTAATCTTTTGGCCATCTTGCCGTATCTATCTCTAGTAAATATCCACGAATCCAAAAGGACTGATCAACGTACGTATAACTTTGCCTTTAAACTTCTCGATCCCCTTGATATCTGGCCACTTGAAATTGTTTAATATGCCCGTTGCATGCAGTAACAAGTCACACGTCTCCTCAAATTCCCTCTCGCCTGATTCTGATGTTTTCTTCATCTTGACAGTCCATTTCCCAGTCTCCTCATCCCAGAAACAACCAACAATTTCGGTATTGAAGGTCATGTATTTCCTAAGATCGAACGTTTCGCAGACCTTGTCCAGATACTTCCAGATATCCGCAGATCTGCTTGAGTACCTTGGCCAATCGGGGTTGAGAGCAAAGTTGAATGTGTATGCATGTGAAGGGACGTCGCAAGCGGCACCCGGGTACCTATTTTCGTACCAAGTCCCTCCGATGTCAGGATTCTTCTCATAAATGACATGCTCAACGCTACATCACTTAGTATTCATATTTGTGGCACTCAATTTTCTGCATGGAGAAGCCTTACTTTTGGCATTGCTTTTGAATATGATAAGCCATCATGATCCCTGAAACACCTGCGCCGATAGTGAGGACCTTAAGACGTCGGTTCTTAGGGTCACGAAAAGTAACATCGGGTATCTGATAACTATCCGCAGGTATATTTGACGAATCAGTGTTTTGCAGACCCAGTTGAGAAATGTCTGGTGCCATGTTGAGAAATTGAAAGGAAGAAACTCGAAAAGTGAGAAGTTAGAAAAAGAAGAAGTGAGTAAGTGAAGTAAAGTATACAGAGTTGTAATAAGAAAGTCTGATGGGAAGAGTCCTCTTTTTTATATCCTATGTCTAATGAACCCCGCACATTGCACAGGGAACCTCCATATGTGCATGAAGTTATATTGAATCAGAATAGATCCATCTTGGGTCCCGCCTCGGATAATTGAATTGTCCGTATACCACTATTTGGTTAAAGCACGATGGATTATTGATGGATTATTGATGGATTTATTGCCGGGTTTGATGGTAGTGATCGACAAGTACCGGTGCAGTATGCAGTATAGATCCAGAAGAGGGGGCATGAAGATAGACAGAAGTATCTACCGATAGTCTTAGTCTTAGTCTAATATACTGAGGGGTTATACTCGTACTCGAGTACCGGTACAAATACCATGGTATTTCCTTCAGATATAAATATAAATGAGTACGAAAGGATTTGGATATAAAAAAAATGTTGATCAAAATAATGGTCGAGCTTCTACCCAGATACTTCCGGGAAACTCTGATCAATCATACAACCTAAAAAATATGAAGTGTAATCACCTTACTGTGTAATAACTTCATGAAATTGTAGTTCTAGATATGCCGATTTCCATCCACATATATGAGTAATCAAGGAAGAAACACGTCGTACAGTTTAAACTTTGAGACGGCAATCGTGGCAAACTCAAGACTTGTCATCTAGGTAATAAAAATGGATCAGATTAAATGACTCTACCTGGTAAATCTTACATTTCTCCGTGGATCTCTTTTTGGTATCTGTAAACTCCATAGGAGACTTAATTACTCGATAATCCTGTGATTAACAAACAGTAGTACCTAATTTATCAGGCCACCATACTTAGGTAATCTTTTTAGTGCATCACTCCGTATAGTACTATACCGGGGTAGAAGTCTTGATCCAAACGACCCGAACAAACTTTCATTCTCTTTCTTACTCTCCCTCTCACTCTCGCTCTCACTTCTCACTCTCACTCTCTTTCCATCAGTGAATTGTTGCTCACACTCACTTTGCATTTAATGTCATTCACAGCAGTTCAATCAATTATCAATCTTAATTCGGTCTATCTAACCATATTACATCTCAATTCTTCCTACACTACAACAATAATTTGTGTTCCAACTCATCATTAAGAGAGGGTTCTATATCAACAGATAACCATGGCTACAGCCATAGATTGGGATAAACCGGGCAAATACCCCATCGTTCTCGGCGATACTTTGCTTGGAAAAGCTCCCAATAATATATATACCGGCATTCGCTGTAGGTTTTGTTGTCTTGGAAGTAAGAGAATGGTTGATTGATTGACAATTGGTTAGACAACCACAAACCCGACCCCTCTGCCGGAACCACTGCCAACTCCGCACAACTGAGACCCTCTTCAAATCCCACCTCTACGAATTATGACCTTTCCCTCTCCGACAATAACGATGATTATACCTATACTGGAGCCCGAACCTCAGGAGACGACCAATATGTACTCACGTTTGATCCCGTCAGGAAAGTTTTGGTTTTGGATCGCATAGATTCTACGTTTGATATGAATCTGACAAGCGCACCATGGACGGATGACGCTGCTCAATTACAATCGCAATACGAACAATTAGAACCACCGACGAAGGTCGTTATAGAGGAACCCCAACCTAAAATGCCTCAAAAGAAGGCTCCTAAAACAAAAGTTACGGCGGCAACGAAAGCAAAACCTGCTCCCCGCGCAAAAGTAGAAAAGCCCCAGAAGCCGAGACCGCCACCACGCGAACCAACGCCCGAACCAGAAGACGAATCAGACGACGGGCTTACAGTTGAATATCCAGACGGGCAGAGCTCCCAACAACAATATGAGTATAGGGCTCCGATATTCCAAAGGGAGCCAAGTGAAGAAATCAGCGATGAAGATGAGGATGCGGATTATGATCAAATCTATGAACAAAACCAGGATGTTGATCATTTAAAACTACCTAGTCCAGTCAACAATCCCGTACCCATTAGTGATGAAGATTTGGAGGCAACCTTGGAGGCGGATCTGCAGGCGGAAATGGAAAAGGAGCTCATGATGAATCAACAGGGAGACGAGAGTGATGAGAGTGAAGAGGAATAAACTTTAATACTAGAACATAATCTTCAACGGTCGGATGGCGTTTGATAAGAATTCGGTGTATTGGATAGGGTATATGGCATCGTCCACAGGATATTTGTGTTGGCATACATAGGTACGGAAGCATTTTTTTAACGCCATGGGCGACAATGGGAAAAACAAATAATTATTTTACCTCGTCTTTTGTCGGTCTGTTAGCATCTTCTGAGCCTCTGCTGCTAAATTAATTATATTCTCCGTGATAGCAAGTGCTTTCTTTATTTAGACTCGAAAGAAATGTTTACGTTTCCTTTGAAAGATTCAATCATCAAAGAATGTACCTTTATTAGCCCTTGTTGGATTGTTTTTCTAAGTCACACAAAGAGCACACTTGCAATATAAGTACATGCCCACAATGCTATTATATTCATGAACTCCAAGTCTCCATATATTTCTTACTTCACACTTATATATCGCATTTTTTATTTGAGGCTGGCCTCCTTTTACATAACTATTTCATTCTCGATGTCGTGGCGAAGAGGAAACACCGCGCAGGTTCCTTATCAAACCCCTTCTTATACTATTGAATATATCTACTTTGAGCTTAACCACAGATGGAGTCATCCTAAATCCTGGCTCTACGATCAACCATTTCCAGCATGGTCAGAATGGCCAATCAACCTTCAAGAACGGTACCAGTTGGCAGAAAAGTTAGTAGGTCGCGAGACTCTCATTATCTCCATTCATTCTGTTCAATTCCGAGTTTCACTCGAAAACTATACTAACAAAGACTGGAATCAACTTCTAGATCTTTTAGCGCCCATGTGTGGTAGTTTGCGCATGTTTGCTCTGAGCCGCAATATTAGGTACCATGAATCCTATAATGAAAGTACTCTAGCCGCAGCTATCGGGCATCTACCCCAATCAGAATACGCAGATATGCCACCCGTATCTCACCCACACGAACTCTACCTCGCAGCCGACGGTCAAGAAATCGAAAGAAGTTACTTTACCCACGTAAATGGTACTCGATACCCCATGCAGACCATCACTTCCAACATATACAAACCCTCCAATTTCTACAGAGATCCACGTCCAGCTTCCTGGCCCGATTATTGGCTTTACCCGCATGCTCCAAACGATCCCGTCCGAGATCCACATTCGGGCCATTATCCACTTTGTACCTATTGCAAGCAAGAGACCCGAGCTAAAGGTTTCGGCCCTCGTTGTACATGTCGCACACATACCCTATTCCGACGTCCCTTGGTAGAAATCATTCAGTATCCTTCCTATCCCGGATCCGAGGGCTCATTAAACCGAGGAGTACGACTACTCGAGGATATTGCTGAAGGCGACGTGCTCGATGAATATGTAGGTGAATATATCCCCCTACCCACCCACTCCGTTCTACAGGCGTTTGGCGATATGGTGTATACATTCTCGTGTCACGGACCTCCCATCGTGGGTGAAGATGGAGAGGGAGAAGGAGAAGAGATGCACAATGATGAAGGGTGGGAGAATGCAGGATATATATGCGGCCTGAAAGCAGGAGAGCGAGGTAATTGGACACGATTTATTAATCACATGGATGGAGAGCAGGCAAATTGTCAGTTTGAAACTCATGTTGCGGCAGGTAAGGTAAGGATTTTGGTGGTTGCGAATAGAGATTTGCATATGGGAGAGGAGTTATGTGCGGATTATGGACCGAATTATTTTGCATAGGTGATGGATTTGCGGGTCAGATTCCATCTCTTTATGGTTAGTCCCGATTTTGTTTTCCTTTTAATATTACAAATTTTTAATCTGGCATTGGTTTTCCTTCTTATTGTGAGTTGTTTGTTAAAAGTTTTGTGAAGACTTGTTTCGTCAGTGTGTAACGGGTTACATATCTTACACACAAAGATTGTCTTGCGATGATTGGCCGCATCTTGAGGCTGTTTCTGATATCCGTTGGGTCACTGTTGCATTAGCTTCATCTTGAAACTATACATGAAGATTGAAGAATTTGTTGTCGTACAATTCTAAATCCAATGTATCCGATGATGATATGCGCGATCACGTGATCAGTCGTCACAAGCAAGCTCTAAGGAATGTGTCTTAGTGATTGCAGCCATCATTTGTTATGCATCTTTGCAATGTCACTTTAGATTACTCCAATCCTCTCGTCATATATACAAGAAATAATCGAACCTATCGTTGAAAATATCGTGATCCTAGTGCCAGGTAAGTTTGCTACTTTGAGCCCCTTCATCATCACAGGAAACCGTTCACGGCGTGATTTTCTGATTCACATACCCTTCGATATCAAAGTAAAATAACGAACTTTAATCCTTTGATGGCTTATCCTCGAAATTTATTGTAACCGCATGCGGGGACTTCCTTTCATTGTACATCTTGTATTGAGGTACAAAGAAATCGGATATATTATATGATTTCACGAAAGGGTACCGGAGTCGTGGGTAACTGCAATAACCTCGTTTGGACTACCAAAATATCCATCGCATTTTTAGTTCTATCGACTCAGGAGCCCCCCAATTGATAACTCATAATGTCGAATTGGTTTTCATGGCCACCATGGGGACGCCAGTCCCTTGAACCAGGACCAGATTCTCTTCGCCCTCCTCCTAGATCCCGAGCTCCTTCTCGTTCTAGACGACCTTCTAGTAGACGGCTAAGCGCCGCCGAGAGGGCAGCGAGAGAGACAGAGGAGAAAAGAGCGAGAGAAGTAGAGGAACAAAGAGTAGCATCTATGAGTATTGCAGCTAGACTCGCGTATAAGGAGAAAATCAGGTTCCGAGAGGAGCAAAAAATTAGAGCTGTGAAAGAAAGATTCCTAGCTGAGAAAAAGCTGATTGGACAACAACATCAAGCGGGCCTCACCGAACCTAATCGTGCGTGGAAGAGAAAGCACGACGATGATGCTGAGGCTCAAGCAGCAGAGAGAAGACAGGCATTTATAGACGCTCGAGAAGCAAGAGAGCAGCAAGCGTCACAGCCAGAGTGGCCAGCCATTCAACGAGAAGCGAATAAAACTCACGCCGTGAAATTATTCGAAAGTATTTACGTGGATCTCCAAAACCATTTCTTACACCCCACTTTGATTAATTCGGAGAGGTATAACCCTTATAATGAGATGTTTCAATCATTTCACAATGCCGCTCACGAATCATTACGGCGATTTGTGAGTTTGGCCAGGAACCCAGAGGAAGGCATGGGTGGCATTGGGATTGATAGTGCTGCCGTGCTCATGTTATCGGAAAGCTTTCGCTCCGCATTGAAATATGGAGAAGATCGTAATGGATTTTTAGCTCAAAATGGCAATGCTGAGTTCCCGCTTATCGGCAGGTGGGAAGAATTCGAAATTAAGCTGCGGCTGGAACATACTAGCATTAGAGGCTTTGCTATCGCACGACACATTCCATACATGACGGTTTACCGTCGAGCCGCTCAAGAAATATTTGGGGGATTTAACCATGTTGCGGATCAAAATCTTCGGCTAGATCCTTCAATAAGAAACCCATTTGAAGTGTACCTCGCATCGGATGGAAGACTTCTTCCCTGTCTATTCACACCTCTTCCTGGTCACGTCGAGCCTACACACCAGGATATCATCATCAAGCATCCCTTCAAAAACCCGAAAGAAAATGAATCCAACAAAGATAATGTCGGGCCTGCACATCAGGGCGTCGTAACACTTCCGTTCCAAAACCTGCGAGAAAATATCTACAGCCGAGAAAATTTCAGAGGCTACGCTCCGCCGTCGAGCTGGCCACCGAGTTGGGAGTACCCGCCTGCGGATATTCAGCATCCGTGTTTAGACTGGGGCAAAGACTATCCCGTGTGTGTAGCGTGTGGTCATCGGACGGGACCCTCCGGAGCACCAGAGGATGCAGATGCATCTGGAGAGAAGCAAATCTGCGAATGCAAGACCCCCAGTGTCTTTGATAAAATATTGATTGAGATCCGAGAATTTCCATCCACCACCACTTCGAAACAACTTGATCGTGGTATCCGGTCTCTGCAGAAAATACACAAAGGACACGTCATTGGCGAAATCCTAGGCGAATTCGTGCCGCTCGGAGCAGAGCTTGACTTTCAGTGTCCTCACGACTTCGCCATCGATTTCAATGGTCCGCCTGCCGTCGACAAGTTTGGAAAAGTTCTAGAGATCGACCCGGATACTATCGTGACGAAGCCAATCGATACCAATACCGATCCGATCGCCACACTCATCACGGGGCACAAAGGCAGTTGGACACGATTGATTAATAACGGCTCGAGCCGAACGGCAAATGTGGAGGCCCGTTCGGAGGTGTGGGCGGGGAAATTGCGTGTTACGGTTAGAGCGCTGAGGGATATTAGGTTTGGGGAGCAGCTGCAGATTCATTATGCGGATATTTATTTAGAGCCGGATGGTCAGTCGCTGAATGCGAGGAAAAAGGAGCATAGGGAGAGGTTGCCGATGCGTGGTCTTAGTGGTTTCTTTAAGTAAGGTAAGTAGTCTTAGATGGGGAGAGCGATATTGTAATAAATAAATATTGATGATTGGGTTGAGAACTTGAGAATGTGCTTCTTTTCCTCGGTGCTTCGTATTTGAATACTTATATGTATCATTCATAGCTATATGTAGATCAAATCGATTATGAATTTACTACTACTATGTATCATTCTTTCTAGATGTATTTTGGGGGGGGGGTACAGAATCATAATTGAACATGAAACAGAGCATTCATATTGATATTGATATTTCTTGTCTTCAATATACCATACCAAGTCTTTATTTAGTTGACTCTACTCCGAGTAGTCTGAATGGCGTCGGCGCATACTTGGTAAATTATTTGTAGATCGTTCATGTGGATGTTTGCATGTTTGCATGTTCATATGTATGTGTATGTTCATGTTCGTGTGCATGAAACTGCAATCAGATGAGAGCCTTCAAAACTTCAAATGATATTACTCGAGTGAAAATACTCAGAAAGAATCCTCAGATGTTAAGTTAGTCTTGCCATTTTATAGATCATTTAAGACATATTACTCTACCTGCAATGTACTGGGCAAACCAGGATCCTCAGGAGACTGACTATCAGTTGATACTATAGTATAACATTATTCTTTTCATTTCTAGACTCGTAATTCAAACCCCGGATTGCATCAACGTTCTACAAGGTGTCTGTCAGAATCTATAAAGTATTAAATGTTGATGGTTCTGTATCTGTATCCGATCTCAATACTACTTTTAATCTCTCCGGATTTGTTGTTTTTCACATTGTTGTTATGGCTCGGCTGACGATATTGAATATAAAGATGGTGTTAGTAGGAATAAGGATTGTTGTTTTTGATGGGTTCTGGGAAACTGAAGATTAATTGAAGATGAAGATGAAGTTGTTCGTTGCCAACTCAGAAAGACTTATTATAGTGCCAGTGGCGACTTGTCTAGTGCAGTGTATCTAATTGTCTAGCTAATCTAGGATTTTCAGGATAGTAGTCTGGATTAGATAAATATTCAGACTAGTTATACTTTTAATTTCACGATTCAATTTCTAAGATGTGATTTTTTATAGGCAAAATAATAATTTTTGTGATAAAAGTGTGACATTTTTAGTATATCTAATTCGATCATCTGGGCATACTAGATAAAATAAAATAAATTTTGGATAGACTATTTGAGACTCTCTTGAGCTATTGGATACACTGTTTTAGTTCTAGAAAACAAAGTTGACAAGAAGTCCTAAGGTTAAATTTCTGGATGAAGTAAAGAATCCCATTTAGAACGAAATATGAGATAGCTAGGTATAGCGATGCAACGGCAATGATGATTGCTTGTCCAATCATCATGAAAATCAAAGCTGCTATGTTTATTAGCGCGTTGAATAGCTCTGTATCGATCAGAAAATGTCTTGTGAAAATCTGTTAGTAATATATCCAATATTACTTGTATAAAAGAAATTCAAAGGTGCGAATATTGCTGTTTTGAGTAGCCTGAGGTGCAGGTTCTTGCCTGACTTCTTGGCCATTTTGTTGAGTTCATGTTGCGCGAGAAGGGTAATAGAGATTAGTCCAAGTATCTGGAAGACAATTTATATTGTTGATTACATTGTGCGATTTTTGTCTAATTCTGACCACCAGCTTAGCCAGACAAGTGGGAAGTTGTAGAAAAGACCGAACCAGCCCGCCATGAATAGGTATGGTATCATGTTGAAGAGCCAGATAGACGTAAAATAGTACCGATAGACTGAAAGATCTTAGATCGGTATTATTGTTCCCTTCAGTGATAAAAACTGGAACATTGACAGCGTGATCGTTCAATTCGGTAATGGTTATTGGAACGCCAGGAGCCTCTACATTTTCTTTCGAGATGCCTTCTACAACTTTCAAGTTAGATGCTACTAAGCGTCGAGTATATCCCTAATTACTAACAAGTAGTTCAGAACTTCCTTGCTCAACCACAGTTTCAGTAGTTCCAAGAGCAACAACTTGGTCGACAAATTGAATAAGATCAACATCAACATCGTTTGTGAAAAGCACGAACGTAGTTTGCTCTCGAGGTAGCAGTCCTTTACCTGCGAAGATGTAGTTTAGAACGCGTTGCATACATAATAGGTTCGGTTTCCGCGCTCATTAGGGTCACTGCTGCAGCATTTTCAAGATCTCCAATGCAAATCTGGGCTGTTTGTGATGTATTGCAGACACTAAGACGCCTCATATCATGATCAGTGATCGATAGGTCAGGCAATAATAAACGGCAGTATAGATCTATAGCCTAGTAATTATCTAGTTCATATGTTTGAGAGTGTGACGGGGATTTTACCGTTAATCCCAGATAAACGACACCTTAATATAGTTGTCAGCCCATTGTATAATAGAGGAGAGTAAACTATTATCGCATGCCCCGACAAGGCCATAACCTTGATTTATAGTCTTTTCGGTACATAGATAAGCTAATTCAAGGTTAATAATCAATAAGAGTCTGCCATTACGGTCGCTTAGACCGGCAGGGGGAGACATGCTTTACCGAATAGGATTGGATCCAGCGGATCCCCCTACATCCATCTAATCGCTCCCGTGCACGATACATATCTTAGCCGTTACGTCAAATCTTGATTTATTTTTCTCATCTCCTCCCTAAAGACCATTCATTCACTCTATGTTTATTATACTCCAAGTTTCCACTCATCCTCGAGATAAATAATTGATAACAGCATTACTCGATTATCTCCACAATGCCAGCCCTCGATTCTCCAACTGATGAGGTGACACCTTTGTTATCTGCGCCTCCACAAGGTTCTATAGTTCCTTATATCTACCAAGCACGTTCACCCCCGCCGCGTGATAACGGCGATCGTGCTCGCGACTTTATTTTGGCTTGAGTTTGGCGGATACTTGATGGCGGTACCGGGATTGAGAATCTACGAGGATATTATCTGTCATCATTACTATGATCGTTTGCAGGGAGAGGACTATATTGTGCTGGAGGGGAATATTTATGAGAGCATGTGCAAGAGAGATGAAATTCAAAATGAACTGAGTATCGTAGTTGCTGGATCGCATTTTCTTGGGGCAATTCCAAGTAATTAGCGGCGTGGAAAACGCAATTGTTGAAAAAAATAGAGCTGATTCGTCACAGGTCTTTTTACGACAATACCTTAAGGTATGCTATGTTTACAGAAGAAATACCCATAAGCTGCATCATTGGAGGAGAAATATGGCTCGTATTGCCTTAAAATGGTACGAATAATGATTATATTGATACTCGACAGGATCGGACGAAAGCCAATCTTCATTTTAGCAATGATAGGCACAGTCATTGACGCTTTGTGGAAACTTGTGGTCATGTGATTCTGGCATATGCTGCCTCTTCGTCTCGTTTGGCTTGGTCCTATATTCACCTTGGTTGGGGGTGGATCAAGTGTAGGAAGCATCGCATTTTTCGCTATCACAAGCGACATCACTCCAGACGCCAAGAGGTAGGTTATTCTAGTCTCTCAGATACTCATAGCACATACTGACGAACACAGAACCGATATCTTCTTTCTCGCCGCCGCCACGAATCTTATTGCCGAATTGATCGCCCCGTCCGTAGCTGCTCTCTTAATGGCCAAGTCTCCCTAGATTCCCCTTGTGCTAGGGACTTTTGTCTTAACCATCGGGAGTCTCCTCATCCTGTTTATTCCAGAAACCCTACACATACACCTTCAGACTACCAATCCATCCCCCCTAACTTTTCCTTCCTCTAACAATGGCTTCTACAGTAGTACCAAAACACAGAGCTCTCTCTTCACCACAGTCAAACACCAACTCTCGACCCATCCTCCAGACTTTAGTATCCTCAATCTTAATCCTCCACTCCGCACCTCTAATTCTGCTCCTCGTCACCTTCATCATCCAATCGTTCAGCAGCCAATCCGTCGATATCTCCCTCCGTTACATCAGCAACCGCTTTCACTTTCCTCTCCGTTTCAGCTCCTTCCTCTGGTCCCTCCGCGCCGCCGTGCAAATCACCCTGTTCCTACTCGCTCTTTCCTCCCTATCGCATGTCATGACTGCCCATCTCCATATCCCCTCCTCAAAGAAAGACCTCTACTTGGCCAGGGCCTCAATACTCATCCTCACCCTCGGTTCCATCTTAATCGCCGCATCCACAACGCTGCCATTGGCGGTCTTCGGAATGGCGGTCTTTACCTTGGGTACGGGATATATCTTCCTAACACGCTCCCTAATAACGACGCTGGTCGATCAGCAGCACACTGGACAGCTGTATGCGGCGGTGGCGGGTATCGAGACGATCGGAAAGCTGATCGCGGGACTAGGTTTTGCGCAGCTTTACATTATGAGACTGAGATTGAAAGGCGCCTGGGTTGGGTGTCACATGTGGCTTGGCAGGGGTAGGGGTCTGGAGTGCCGGGTGGGTGATGAGTAGAAGGGGCTGGAAGTGGGAATCGGAGAATAATTGTGATGGCTCTGTTGCGGGATGACAGATGCGTGCGACGGAGAAAAGAATGAGGTTGCAGTGTTGAGTGTAGAGAGAGAGGCCGTTACGGGAGGAGTCGGTGTGATGAGCATAAATTAACGTTCAGGGGATAGGCGAAGCCTATTCACAACCTTCTGAAGAGTACTAGGGATAGACTAAACTATTCTATATTTAGATTTAATTAGTATCTGATTTTTATAGTATATAATATATTTATAAGAGTGTGACCAAAAGGGTATAAACAGGACTCCGATTGTGTACTTAGAATCTACAAGTGAAGAACTATGTAGGGTGCTAAAAGGAGGACTATATATACAGGTATTGGGAGCCATAAGGGCTAGGCCCAGAAGAGTGAAAAAGTCCTAGAGATAAGCATCGTACGATGCCTAGGTCTAGAGCTATAGAGCTAGGGCTCTAAGCTGTGAAAGGAAGGTCCAAGAGAGCCGTCGTATCATGCTACATACGTAGTATGAGCCAGTGGGCGGAAGAGAGCCGTCTGTTCCGTCACAAAGAGCTAGGTTTCATCATGATTTTGCGAAAGTGTACTGTATGCCAGAGGGGCGCCCCCCCCCTCACTAAAGTGGATTCAACGACTGATAGATCGAGAGAGATAAATTCTATTTTCCAAATTACGTATGCATGCGTATTGTCCATATATGAAATCGTTTACCTCTACTTTGAGACGGTCACGAATTATTACGCAAATGAAGTGTTAGCTAACAGAGCGTAACAGATTGCCTAATCACTCCTAGCTATTTTGTGACCGCGAGTGCGGACATACAACATAGACATACAAGGTCATACTGATAAAATTTCGTTAGTGACGACTTACTCTAAATCCTCTTCTAGTGAAGAAGGCTTTAATATGCAGACCTGATACAACAGTCGAAGTCGAAAACTTAGAAATCAATGGAGTCACGGGCTTGAGACTGAACATCTCTGTGTTAATTGATATCGACTTATCGATCAAATTTCTGAGTGGGAGTATTATGGCAAATCAGATATTAGGTGACGAGGAATACTAGCAGTTCCTTACACCTAATTTCATAACTACTGTCCAAAAGAAATCGTGATTTTTGACCTCTCTCAATTTTTCATTTCAATCTCAAAATAATTATTTCGATAATAAAGTTATTTCAATATTGAAAAATATTTGAAATAATTCTAATAATCAATAATTTAATTATATCGAAGAGATTTTTCAGTTTGGAATTTATTTAATATAATTATTGTAGATTAAAATTCGAAATTTGAGATTGAGAATCGAATTTTCAAGGTTGAGATAAAAATTCGCGAAATTCTTTTGGGCAGTAATTATGAAATTAGGTGTAGTACAAATCGTTGGATAGTAAACAGGCTTTAGCTCTCTCGAACCTCGCTTGTGACTCTAGTCGGCAAAAGCGATCGCATAATCCACTATAACAACTTCATGAATTATTATGCTGCTTGAAATTTATAAAAATCTGAGATTCACACTTTTTATTAGGGTTTTGTAATTAATTTAGTCGACTAGAAACCACAAGCGATAGAGGGAGCTAAGTCTACGACCCGACGATCATCTAACTCACTTGGCAAAACTCTCTAATCCATAAACTAGAGCGCATGTAAAAGGCAATCAATGAAACTTGGGGTTTCAGAACATTTTTCTTCGTTCTGTTCCTTCATGTTGGCTGTACATTACCGTGAGAAATGAGGCTGGACTTTAGTTTGGCATCTTAGATCGTTGTGTTTGTAGAAATCTTTCGTTGAATTGTCATAGTAATGGATTCAAGATCAGGTCAATCTCATCGCCTTTCTTATCTCTATAAATCCATTTGGGTTTCTCTATTATAATCTTACCTTTCTTATTCGCTGAAAAGGTTTTATTGTACTGATCTTAATATATTAGTTGGGGCAACATTATAGGTGATCTAAATAACCAAACAACCTGGATTCAGTTTCAAGCTGAAGCTATCATCACATGAGTTGCTAGTTAGAAATCTAAATATATGGAATTACATTTCAGAAGGTAGTAAGTAAGCTAATGTCGTTCCGAGGAATAAAAAACCCCAAGTAGGTAACTCATCCCAGACAGCACCACAAAAATCACTTAAACGTACACCAGAAACAAGTTCTAGGAAATTTAGACACCCAAGAACTCCATCCCCATGACGCTAACCCCAAAGCTCTTCATTCTCTATGACAGGACTACCATTCCTGCAATCTTACCAAAGCGTGTTTCTGACGATGAAGGCTTTCTCTCTCAATGATGGAAGGAAGCACAACCAAGCGCGAGTCTGACGCTAAGATACTACCCAAATTGTTTCCATTCCATCCAACTATATATTTTCAAAACTGTCTGCTTATGTATGTATCCCAATAAAGACATCTAAATACCTCGTTATTTTGTCTCAGGCTTCTCCCATACCATTCTATCCTATCCAAAACACCGCTTATTTATTTACTCTATACCCCTCCATCAAGTCTCCTATATTGATACCCCCCGCCCCCCTCCCTCGCAATCTATCTACGCAGGATAAACCGCCCCATCACCCCTCGGATCACTTCCCCCACTAAAAACCAAAACCCCATCCTCCTCCCCATGAACCCTAATCAGCTGCCCCCTCCCAAAAACACCCCTTTTATAACCTTCAACTATCTGCACCTGATGACCCATGGCCCTAAGCTTTTCCTCCGTCTCCACACTGATCCCCTCCTCCAAAAATACTCTTCTCTGTTTATTTGATTCTCCCGGAATCCCATCAGCACTTATACAAAATCTCGGCGCATCGACCGCCGCTTGTGGATTAAGCTTAAATGCTAGCATATTAAGCAGTACTTGAACATGACCTTGGGGTTGCATGAACCCCCCCATGACGCCGTATACGCTATGTAGCGAATCGTCATGGACGTTGGTGATCATAGCGGGGATAATAGTATGATAAGGTCTTTTTCCAGGCGCGATGGCATTCGCGTGACCTTTTTGAAGCGAGAAATTGCCACCACGGTTTTGGAGAACGAATCCACAACCTTTGGGGATGATACCGCTGCCGAAACCTTCGAAGTTGGAGTTAATGAATGAGATACCGTTACCCCATTTGTCAGTTACGGCGAAGTAAACGGTGTCGCTATGATTATGGGCTGGGGAACCATGGTCATAGATTTCGGGATTAGAGCGCTGGGAATCGAAGAGTTTAGCGCGTTCGGCGAGGTATGGCTGGGAGATTAATTCTTCAACGGGGACTTTGGTAAATGCTGGGTCGGCGATGAACCAGCTAGCGTCTGCGAATGCGATGCGTAAGGATTCGATAACGGCGTGCAGGTATTCGGGTGAATTATGATCCTTTTCTTGGAAATGAGGGATTTTGCCGGTGTTTTCGAGTTCCTCGAGGATGCCGAGGGTCATGAGAGCGACGAGCCCTTGGCCATTCGGTGGGTGCTCCCAGATTCTAACGCCGTGATTATCTTCGTTGATACCCTGGCCGGATATTCCGTCAACGAAATGGTGAGTTTTGTTGTATCCTTGACCTTTGAAAACTCTTGAGATAGGTGTAGAGTTCTCACTACCGATTTTCATGTGTTCTTTTAGATCGTCTAATTCGAGGAATCCACCAAGGTTTCGAGTAACCCTGATGATTTCTTCAGCGATTCTTCCGGTATAGAATCCTTTTTTCCCTTCAATTGCGAGTGTTCTGAAAGTATTAGCGAGGTTTGGATTCTTAAATATCTCTCCTGGTCTAGGTGCACGCCAGCCATTTGGGGCACTTGAATCCTCCTTTAGCATTTCAGAGAAGTTAGGAGATGCCTTTTGAAGTAGACCTTCATTGTTCCTCCACTATTTACCCAATTAGTTCCTGCGAGCATCATGAATAGAAAAATCTGAGTTACAGTACCATAGTTGAGGCTAATTCAGACACCGGAAATCCGTTTTCACCCATTTCGATAGCAGGTGCCAAAATTTGTTCCAAGGTCAGGTTACCACTACCAAATCTTTCCACAGTATCAACCCATCCTGCAGCTGCACCCGGCACAGTAACAGCATGTGGACTTTTGAGTGGAATTCTTCCAGGTTCATCATCCTTGAGTCCCAGATCTTGTCGGATATCTTCGAGTGAGGATTTCATGCCTGCACGACCTGAGCCATTCAAAGAACTGACTTTCTTCGTCTTGGCATCATAAAATAGACAGAACATATCACCACCAATGCCAGTGGAAGTTGGTTCTGTTAGGTTGAGACCGGCAGCTGAAACTTGGTTAGACTAAATTTTACATTGAAGCTGTGCCCAACATACCAACTGCAACCGCTGCGTCCTATGTTGCATTAGCTTATGATTTTGTCAAAAGAATGATAACTTACAGCAGCATTTCCGCCTGCGTTCAAAACCTTGAGACCACATCTAGCAGCTAAAGGTTGGGTACAAGCGATCATACCCTCAGTGCTATGAACAACACTTCTTCTACTAGGGAACGTGACAAACTCCGGATCCGCGGCCGGAAAAACTGAGTTCAGATTGAGAGGCATTTTGGAGAGAGATCTTTAAAGCAAAAGTAGCTATAAGTCGTAGTTCAGTTCTATATATCCTCGGCTAGAATCTTGATAGGAGAAAATGTACCTGTATGCCTAGATGACGGTTTTATCTATACACAAAATAGAGACAATGTCTACAAGAGAAAATGTCTGGAGTATGACACTTAATAAAAGTTACATTCACATCCCACTTACCCTGAATGGCGAAATAGGAAGAAAGAATCCCGATTTCGGCAATGACGGCAAAACGTGAAAACGTGGGGTCGAAAGATTAAGCGGGGAAGAAAGCGGCCGCTTGAAGCTACTCTTCTGTAAATGGTCCGTGCTTCAATCTCCAGAAAAGTTCACGCGTTTACCAAATAGTATACGAAGTAACTTGACGAGAATGTTGAGAGCTCCTTGGATATGTCGACGATGTGTAGATTTATCATTAAAACCTGATAAAAGGCGATCACTACCATTCGTACGCTTCTCCAGTACCACCCGTTCGTCTTCACACCTACCCCTCCGCTCAGGAATCCGCTTACACGAATAACAGCAAATAATGGCGGTAGATTTTCCCCAGCATTACTTGCACGAGCTCGTAATTTGGCAGCGGAACATGATAGATTGAGTAACGAGACCTCCGAGACCTTCAACGCGAAGATAGCAAAACGAATTGGCGAATTACAAAATGTAACAACGGCGCTGAGGAAATGGGAAAAAACAAAAGAATCACTATCAGAGCTAGATGCACTATTGAAGGATTCATCTACCGACGAAGAACTACGAGAATTAGCACTTGAAGACCTCACCACGACGACTGCACATCTCGAGGAATTATCCCGAATTATTACGACCAGTCTTACCCCCAAACATCCCTTCGCGGAACTACCATGCCTCGTCGAAATTCGACCTGGAGCTGGAGGAGGTGAAGCTGCTCTCTTCGCCGCGGATCTCCTACGTATGTATCGCGCATATTGCCTACGAAAACGATTCCGCTCCACAATCATCAAATACGAAACCATCGATGGCGAAGGTGCAGGCTCCGACGCGCCCATTGCCGAAGTCGTGCTCGAGATCGAAACATCGGGATCGTACGATTCCCTTCGCGGCGAGGCGGGCATTCATCGAGTCCAACGAGTTCCTGCGACGGAAAAACAAGGGAGAACACATACTAGTGCAGTGAGTGTAATGGTGTTACCTAGTTTCCCTACGACTGGACAAGAGGGGCAGGAATATTGGGAGGCGGATTTGAATGATCCAAATAGTGATTACTATGTCAACCCGACGGATGTGCGGACGGATGTTATGAGAGCGAGAGGAGCGGGTGGTCAACATGTTAACACGACTGATTCGGCGGTTCGATTAACGCACGTACCGACCAATACGGTGGTTAGTATGCAAGAAGGTCGAAGTCAGCTTCAGAATCGACAGAAGGCGTGGCAAGTATTGCGGTCGAGGCTGGCGGCTACAAAAAGAGAAACCAGAGAAGAGCAACTAACTACTCTGAGGAGGAGTGTGATTGGAGTGGCGAAGATGGGGAGAGGTGATAAGATTAGGACGTATAATTGGGGACAGCAGAGAGTTACGGATCATAGAAGTGGTTTGAGTGTGCATAACCTGGATGATGTTATGGAGGGCGGAGATGAACTTGAGAAAGTCATTGATAGTGTCAAGGCTTGGTTTTTGGAGCAGGAAATTCTAGGACTACTTGCTGATGAGGAGGCTGCAAGTAGTTCAAAATAGATGGTGTGCCTGGGCATGTTAGCTATGTGTGTGTAAATTTGTATTATACGCTATATATTCGTTTCAAACGGTTGCTTCTGTGACCTTAATGGTAATGATCATTAAACAATACATCTATTTCTTCACTTACTTTCTCGTGTAAATATGTAACACAGTATTGGTAACCCCTAACCTAATCCCTTGGAATTAAACGAGTAGTCGAGGTAACACATTAAGAGGATATTACTATTTTGGCAAACCAGGCAATCTTGCAATTCTAATCTAAATTTCCTCGAACCGTTTAAACGACTCTCAACTGCATGAAATATATCAGTGATCTACCAATTAATCAATGAGCCTCGATTTGACAACTTGATAATTATAACTCATCGTACCGGTACTACATTCACGAACCGCGCCATTTTTTTTTCTTTTCTTCCAAAAACGGACGTAATCTTGCGAGTAGGTAGACAAACAATAATGAATTCTAAGTTCTAACCAAAAGTCACTACTCGAGTACAACTACAAAAGCCCAAGAGCCAATGCATTCAACAACAAGACATTGCCACTGCCACTGCCACTGCCATCCTTGATTCTAACTTAGTACCATAACCCACAATGCTTTCCCGACAAAACCATACAAAAATGACCACACCAAGCTCCGTCTCCTATAGAATAAAGGAAATGATCTAGGACGGTGGAGCTGCGGTATTCTGCACCGCTTCGTTTCTCTGGACTGCTCCGAATCGCGTATTACCTTGGTCAAAGATCTAGATTATCGGATTAGATTAGTGATCCATCTATATACTATATTGAACACAAAACAACATTCAATAGCAGGATTAAGAGTGAGAACTTACAGCATAGATACCCTTAAGGAAAGTATCGCCCAGAATATCAAAAGTCATTGAACCTCTGGACTGAATCCCACCATAAACCATCCCATTACCCGCATCCGCAAACCCCAGGTCTTCCTTCTGAACCGCGAACTGCTTGTCTCCAACCGCAAACGTGACGATGGGAAGATCGTCGGCGCTGGTGTTGCTGGGAAAGGTGTAGCCTTGTTGTTCCGAATCGTAGGTTGATCCTGGGATTGCGTCGTAGATGGCCTTGCAGGTCTCGTCGGAAACTAATGCGAGAGTGGTGCCGGTATCGGCAATCGCTTGATTACCCGTCTGCGCGACCGTATTACCATTAACGGTAGCGGATGCAGAGTCGAACATCCAGAATCCTTGGGAATTGTCAATGAGAGTGTAGTAGATTTCTTGGTTTCCAACTACGTCCGTGTCGATGTAGCCAAATGTGTAGAAGCTGGCTCCCTGGTCGGGATCGGCGGCATCGCGCCAGCTGCCAAGGTTGACGGTGAAGATTTTGGCGTCGGAGGGAATATCTTCTTGGGTTATCATGTTCATGACGGGTGTGGCAACGGGTGTTGGGGTGACGGTGTTGATGCTACCCCATGCGAGGCCGAGCAGTCCATCGCCAGCACCCTCCGCGAACTGAGTTGACAACTTGGTCGCGAGCTCTACTGCCTGATTCTTGATGGCAAGTCCACCAAGGGTAACAGTGTCCGTCCCAACGGTTCCTGAAGCAGAAGAGGAATCGCCATACGAGATCTGCCATTTGGATGTCTTGGAAGCTTTGAAGGTGGATGACTTTGTTGGATTGAAGATTGTGTGACCGGTTGCTTTGGAAGTTGTGGATCTGGGAAGTTCAGTGGACCAGACCTATTCTTCCCTGTTAGCTTTGATTGCGGAAGTCTAATATTGGGTAACTTACCCATAAGTCGGATGATCCAGTATCAAAGTCAAGCATCAAAGTTTGTGCCGGTGTGCCAATTTGTACAGGGCAAAGATACTCGGAATCATTTTGTTCGTCTTCAGCTGGGACTTCGCCATTCTCTCCAGTAGTTGTCTTCTTGGCCAAGACACGTTGAGTTTGTGTTTTGTGTCCGAACTTGTGAAAGCTACCTGGAGTTTCGGTGGCCTTGTTTATCTGGAAGTATGGGCCAGGTTTGGTGGGCTCGAAGCCCCATTTGTTAAGTAGATATACATAGGATTTGGTGCCGGATCTTGTGTAGTTCTTGTTGCGCACAAGTCTAATCTTTGACAAGCCTTGAAAAGAAGCCATATTGAATAATCTGCTGAAGAATAGTAGAAATTTGAGGTGATAGTATTTCTTTTGTAGGGAAGAAGTGGGTTGAAGATGGATGGTATGAGAAGTAAAGGAAATTAATGAAGGAGAAGGTTCCCTTTATATGCTGTTGAGCATTGTAACTTTTATCCTATAAAGCTTCCTCCTCCCTCTACCCTTCAAACGATCCAACCAAGGCGTCATCAATGATTCCGTGGTTTCAGGGCAGCTTCCATACTCTGCACGACTGGGGGAAGGTGCATAGTGGGTACGATAAGGTATCATTTGGTGTGGCATGCCACCCTCCAAATACTGTACGCGCAGCTATTGGAAAATGCCAAGTATCATATGATGTGAGTAACACAGAATCGGTTTTATTTCTTTTATACTTTTCGTGTATCAGTACACTTGCACTTCAACTTCAATCAGCTCCTGAATCGGCCGAAATGTTAAAGAAAGGTTACTGTGCCAGTACCCCGTGAACATACGGTATTAATATGAAGATAAGTTTCGCCTCTTAGTCACGATAGTGACACACACAAGAGGGCGATGAAGATGATGGTTATCCAAAGTGTACAAGGTTTATCTTTCGGCACTTCCTTCATTGTGGATGATCGACTAGACAGAACCCCATGTTGTACAGATATTCAAGCTTTGAAGAACATGGGAAAGAAAGGGAAGGCTGTACCAATGCCGGCAACAATACGTACACTACCACTCCACATAAATCAAAGAATATAAGCATCGACTAGATCGAATTAGATGAACGAGGAACTACCTGTGCCGCCGTCGATATAGTGCCAAAACCAAACCATTAATTCTTGTTGACCACACGCCATCCAAACATTGGCTTTTAGACCTTATCGTCTGGAACCCTAGAATAGGTCAGTACCATGCTTAAGATGTATTGATTTGCTCTGATAACTCCAAGATTACGGAGTCCAACGAAATAGATAAGGTATTTGACGTCAATGATTTCAATAATACTTACCATATCGATTTAGTGGAGTTACACTAGGAATGTAACTTCATGACCTTCCTTATCAGAAGAAGTCAAAACAAAAGCTTTACACCTACTCAACATCACTACCTAGTGATCAAATCCTTCACGTATCGGTACAAGCCATCCATCCGATTTCATTCTCTGTGTTTCCCATGCTTGTTCCTTTATCGAGAGGACAATCCGTACATATCAATTCATTGGGACAAGTCGTTCTGCTGATCTTATCCCGAGATCAAGGTTTTCGTTCTTTATTTTGGGTTTCTTAGCCATGTTCATTCTCTATGTCGAGACATCTCCCTACCATATGACATCCTTATTAGATACCTACCTGTATTTAATTCCCGTGTTCGATGATTCTTCAAATAATAATGAACAACTTAACTCATTTTATTCCTTCCCCAAAACCATAAATGATTCCTGTGATAAGTGTATACGATTCAATTGCTGGTGCGTTTATGTTTCTCCATAAATCGAAGAACTCGGTGAGAAAGAGACTCTGAATTGTGAAGATAGTAGGTAAATAGGTGTCAAAAGAAAAGATTTGCTATTGCTACCAGTGAGGATGAGGTTGAGGCTGGGCATTTCATTACAGCGTTGTTGGCGCTTAATATTATGCTGTACTTATAGTACCGTAAGGTCTACCTAGTATGCTACACAAAGTTCAGAACAAGTAAGCGCTGTCACGGTATCAAAAAATCACCATTTCGAATAACTCAGTAGAGATAGATACTCGAGTAGAGTAGAGACGTGGAAACAGTAAGATTAAGATTACTCTCTCCAGAATCCGCATCGATTGACTATCTATGCTTAGTGAGATTCTTAGTTATTAGTTACTAGCTACTTATAAGGATACATACAGTATCTGCTACAGTAGAGGAAGCAAAGATACCGATACTATATTGGGTCCAGGTCCAAGTCTAGGTTCTGTAGGTCATCCATCTCAAGCATTGCTAAATATGGCCACAACTCACATTCGCAAATCATTATATTTTCACAATCACGGTGCGCGCCATAAAAACTGAATAATAACAGTCAACATATTATTTTCTTAATTCTATGTTACGTTAACAATACCCGTAACAACTGTCACAACAACCTCCCTAATCCAGATTTCTTTCTGATAACGATTCCTCTGGATTGCCATATCAATACACTAAAGTCTATTCTTCTTTACGACCGGTACACCTCGGTTGATGTTATCCATAGCATCCATCATATAAACCGCACTATGATGTGGCGTTCTCCGAGGTCCCTTGGTCGAATGACCCCCCTTTTTCTCGGTAAGACTATTTCCACTAACCGTACGTTTTTTCCCTCCAGTCCAACCTCCTTCACCTTCACCTCCACTCCCCGTACATTTTTCTCTCCAGCTCCAAAGTTTCTTACTACCCGAGCATTCGTTCCTACCTTTCTCCGAAGCACAATTGCATGCACCAGGCCAACAAGCTTGCGCTGGCTTGAAGTTGGGTTTTCGCGTGCAATAAATTTTGCGAGATGGGTGGTTGGGGTCTAGCCAATACACACAAATGATGTTCATGGGTCTAACCTTTCCCTCAAAAAGATAGATGCTTTGCCCAACAAACCAATCCCAGAATCCCAAGAAGTTATACGCATTCATAAGTATCTCATGACCATCGGTTTCGTGTGCCGCCAACTCATCAAGGCTCATCGGCTCTATGGTGATATCGTTGTGAGTTCCAGCTTCACATGTCCACTGCAATCTGACATTTAAAAGTTTTTCCGTTATTTGAACGCCATCCATTCCCCAAGGTGTACTAGTGTAAGAGTCTCGATGATCTTGAGTCGATGATACTATACGATAAGTGTATGGCAATTTTCCAGATATGAGCGGTAAGAGTTGGTGCTTTAGTTCCACGAGACGAAAGTTTTCTCTTTTGGCATCTTCGTCATGGTCTTCTTCTGCATTCCTATGTTCCTGTATCCACTCAGCATACCTGTCGCAACCCCATCGCTTCAGTAATACAATCCTGGGACCTTGAATCATTTCTTCGTACAAAGCTTTTCTTGTTGCAACTAGATCTGGCTTGATGAATACAACATTAGAAGAGCCTCCGTTCGCAACATGGCTTGGAATTCCTCGTTCTCTCGATACAACAGTAGAAGATCCTCCGTTCGCAACTTGGCTCGGAATATTTCCTACTCTCGATACATCTGAATGGATCGGTAATTCTGCCACTTTTGCAGTCGTCGAGATTGTCTGGTCCTTCTTGGCGGTGATATTGCTAGCAGATTCTGCAGCAACATAAGGAGCTCGATCCACAACTTGATACTTAGTTGTTCCTGCTATTGCTGCATGAGGACCGTTCGATATTTCTGATACTGTTGAAGTTTTTGGAACTATCGGATCCATCTTACCAGTGGTATCGATTGCGTGCTCTGACGAAGTACAAGGGTCTCCATCTACCAGTTCACCTGTAGTGCCTCGTACGATCGATACATTCAGTAAATTAGTCTCACCAGGTACTTCAACCGCTTCTGCAATTGTGGAAGTCAGAAGATCCTTCGTGCCAGTGGTATTGACGTCCAGTCCTGCAGAGATAGAGGGACCTTCCACGATAGCTTCATCCGTAGCAATTACTGCTATTGATACATCAGTCTCTCCGGCCACTTCTGTCACCTCCGTAACTGTCAATATCATCTGATCCTTCTTTCCAATGGTATCAATGGCGGGTTCTACAGCGATCCGTAGACATTCTGGGGAATTTAGACCAGCGTCCAGATTCTCCACAGCCCGAGCTAAAGGTACACTTCCCCTTCCCATATTTTCCGCACGAGTCCTCTCGTTCCCTATCAAGCCCAATAAATTAGCATCCGTACGTCCACACCCCTAATCCCATCCCAACACAACACCTACAAAACAACCTATAAACAATCCTCTCCGCCAGTTCCAACCCCTCTCTTTCCTCTCCTCCTTCCCTTCCCCTTTCCTCCGCCTCATCCACTCCAAATGCATCCAATACACTCTCATACGCCTGCAAAAACCTAACCAAATCAATCTTCTCATCGATAGCTCGATATACCATCTCTTGTTTACTATATCTGTGTCTATGTCTGTATACAAGCCTTTCCGCAATAGGTTCTTGAGTAGGCTTGAACTTCGGATATAGAGCGCGGGGAAGAGAAATCGGAGAAATTGATTCAAAATTGATTCGATTGTCGACGGAGGCTGGAGCGGCGCCGTGGACATCTACCCAGGGTCTGGCATCGGAGGAGGAGGAAGACATTTCGGTATGATGTTGCAGGTTGAGTGTGTGTTGTGTTGGAAACGAGTAATGGATGGATGGATAGATGTGTATGCAAAAATATATGGACGGGTACAGGAGAGGATCTGTGAGCGTCGCGCGCAAATGTGTTCAAGGATGCCAAAATATATTTTGGTTAAGCAATGTATGGGATTATATTTCATGTATGTATGTGTGTTATTGAATGATATGGAGAGGGTGAGGATGCGTAATGTGTATTCATGATGGCATCCCTCTATTCCTATATGGGAAGTGACTACTTGACTCCCTACCTACCTACCTACTACAGTCAGATTCGTGCTGCGCATACCAATACTAGATATAGCAAGCACGACCTCGAGAGTTTCTCGTGGTGTCAATAAACTTGGGGAAGTAGAAATGGCAGTCGCGCACTCTTAGATACCGGTACACGGAAAAGGAAAGAATGAGCATAGTGAAATGGGAAGGATCAAACTTAGGTACTACGAAAAACTTCTCATTAGCAGCTCAGGTTACTACAATGCGAAGTGGAAAGGGAAGGACAAAGTGAAGATAGAGGCAGAGAATAGAAAACGGGAACGGGAATAGGTAAGTGAATGGGATGACCTGTAAGCACTGAGCTTAAGGAGTCGGTTAATTTCATACTGTACTTGTCGTTAATGCTGCATTTACATATTCGAGTCGAATATATAACTTTATATATGAAGATCTATTTACAATCATTTACTTAGCTGTAACTGCATATCCAAACGGAAGAAACCAAAATGTTAATTCTTTTATCATTTTAATGTCACAGTTACAGTCACAGTAATAGTCACAAGTTGCGCAACAATTCGATGAGATTTGTACTGTAGTAATAAAACAAACTATACTCGCACAGTAGGAAATAACGCAATTTCTTCTCTCTAGTGAGCACCCAAGGAATGGGAAGATACCAAGTACATAGGTATATATTCTACTCTACAAACCCTCGCACAAATTCGAAAATTACTACTGAGTAAGTGCAAGCGCAACAAGACACGCACCAGAACAACATTCATTCTCGATTCCCAATATAGGAGCAGCATCCAATAGCATCCATCCTAAATCCAAAATCCTAAATCCTAAATCCACAATAGCGTCTGCGTTTGCGTTTGCATTTCTTTGCAATCCAGCCAACTAACTACTCGTATTGCACTATTGAGATCTATCCTATCCTATCCTATCCTATCCCATCCTAACCTATGCTATCCTACCCCATCTAATCCCAGCGCGCAAAGCACACAGCATAAAGCATAAAGTATTAAAATAGTAGGTAGATACATATACAAATACATGGATAGGTACATTACATAGGTGAACATGAATGAGTACATAAAACATCTATCTCAATCACAATCTCAATCTTAATCTCCACCCACCCATGATTTTAAAAAAGTACATACAGTGAAATCAAGAAGAAACAGAAAAGACACAGAAAAGACACAAAGATGCGATACATACGCATACCGATCGATGCAAAAGAAATACCATAAGTGAAGTGACGGGTTCCAAAAGCGTTCCGTACGTACACTCCTCGCTCGCTCCCAAATCTTCTTTTTATAAATGTCATTTGATATGTATGCTTGATGGAACACCCACGCTTACGTGAAACTTAGCTTCGCTTCCATCCCCAAATTCCATCCTTAGCTTCCTTCATTCCCTAACTTCATTCCATAACTTCATACCCTAACTCCGTCCCCACCCCCCATCAATACCACGAACCCACTCACCCACTTCAAAACCCAGCCGTCTCCTCGTTTTCTCATCCATCTTCCCTTTAATTTTCTCCCTGCCACTGCCACCAACACCACCCCCAAACCCAATCCCACCACCCGCATCTTTTTCCCTCTCGGCGCCCGCACTCCCCACTGTACTCGCACTTCCTTTCCTCAGCCCCGCGCTGATTTCCCCTAAACTCGCTAGACTACCTTCACGATCCCCCTTTTCAGAGATTAATACCCTCACTACTATTCCCCTGCCTCCTCCCCCAACAGACCACTCTACGCCTCCACATCTTTCCATTTCTTCTCTACCTACGCCTTTTACGAAAACGGTGAGATCTGCACCTATGATTCCTCGCCATAGTGTAGCCATCCATTGCCAATGATCGACTGGTGCGTAACTATCGTTTATGGGTAATTTTAACGAATATGCATCTGACAATGTGAGGGAGTACCCATGGGGGATGAGGGCAATGGGTGTTTTCTTATGAGGGGTAGACGATTGCGAAGCTTCCGAAGAATGGGGGTTTGAGGAAGTCGTAGAAGTTTCTCTACGAGGAGAAGACGGCGGGACGGTGGTGATAAATTTGGCTATTTGACGAGAGTTGCGGTGCCACTGGGAGATGGTGGATAGGTACTCGATGAATGGATCTGCCGATTCTTCTTTCTCTTTGAGAGCTTTTATATCCATCACCGTCTCATGTTTATTCTCATCCTTCTCCCTGCTCTTTTCTTTCCCACTATCTTTCACCGCCGAGACGTCCCGCATCTCGGTATCTACATCCATATCCGCCGTCCCAATTTCCCTAGAGTCCTGACTAGGACCCGACTCTGTAATCCAACTCCGGACTACACAACTAGCATCTTTTTCCAGATGCCCCCGAATAAAATCCCCAACCTCCCTAATTAACCCCTTCTCGACCCCCTCGACCGCAATAAGCGCCCCCCGAATATCCTGCGCTGGACTCGTAGGGCCCGGTGCCGCCAACGGTGGAGAAATCTTCGAAAGCACCGTTAATTTATTCATATACGGAATCGTCATCACCATAGCTTCAATACTGCGAGCTTGGGAATCTCTGCTTTCGTGTCGGATATCGCGATCGGCTGGTGGACGATGGGTGGAAGAGGGAGTAGGAAGCCGGGTTTGGAGAGGAGGCAGACGCAGGGATTCGTCGAATGTGGGTGTGTGGTTGCGGTAGATGGGTGTCATGCTCTGTTGCATATGAGTGGACCGCAGAGGGGCCGATTGAGGACCCATTGCACCAGGTCTTGAAGCCGGGAGAGGCTGAGGAGGATTCCGGAAGGGACCCGCAGACATGGGAATTTGTTGGTTGCGGGAAAAGGCTTGCTGGGGGTTGGAATATGTCATTGGAGATGCTTGCGGATAGGCCCTCGGATCATTGGTGAAACGTCGACGCTTGAAATCGGGGGTGGGAGATTGCATCTCCACGTCTTGATCGTGTTCATGATGGGTATGGAGTGGTTGGGGGTATGGATGCCGCCTAACCGGTTGTTGGGGAGGTGGACCTATACGTGGGGAATCTACTCTGCCGCTGCCGGGCATTTGGGCTAGGTATCGTGGTCTTTCGAGCCCACTGAGCTGGGACTGGTGTTGGGACTGCTGAGACTGGGTATTTGAGCTGAATGGTGGCAGGAGTCTATCGCTGCGTAAAACTGGAGCCCCAAAGGCCGGCGTAAATGGTGTCAACGGCGTACTTGGCGTTGAGATGTAGCGACCGTTACATCTCGGACAACGGGTAGGATCGTCCGATGTTGAAGTTGGTGGACGATTGCCAATCGTTTTCCCTGCTCTTCGTGGCTGGTAACGATAATTGGGATATTGTCTTTGGTGACGTTGTTTCTCTTCCTAGACATCAAAGGGTCAGCATAATCTAACTTCACGGGCTATTTCTATGTTATCTACTTCGGCAAGTCTTTTCCATTCCTCTTTTACATTTGGAGCCTGCTCTCGCCACTGTTCGCCAATAATCTTTGATATCTCAGGATTTGCAAGTCCGGGATGCTGGGCGACGGCTTGTGCCTGGTAATGTTGACGGTAAAGGATAAATGCTACAAAGGGAACATGTCAGCTTCTCAATTCTGTAGTAAAAACAAAGAGTCTCGTCTCAATAAACAAAGATTAGGGTGAACATAGGGTTTCTAGAGCCCTTCTCAACCACCAATCATATGGTTATTGTCAATCATCATTGTCAAAGAAAGTTTTAGATCACGCACCGTTTCGAGGTCGTGGTATCTTTGGGTCTGCTTGACAAAGGCAGACTTGTTCTGTGACCGCCGTATCAGAAATGAGGGAAGGGCCTGAGGTGCTATTGCTTGTGCTCGCACTATTCAATGCAAGATCTCCGATTCGTGGATGATTTGCACTCTCAGTATCGAGTGATGCCGCTCGTTTTCTCGACAAACGATCGTAAGCTGGAGGTGAAACTGTAGTTGGAGGGTCTGAGTGCTTGTCTGGGAGAATTGGCCTCAATGAGTTCTTCCTACTAGAATCCGTTGAGATGCTAACAGGAGATCGAGGCGCTTCCATACCAACAGTGCCGTTGGTTCTGCGTACCTCTGCAATAATTGACATTATGTTGGATCAAATGAAATAAAAAATCTGTTGAAGATTTTGATGTAGATGTTGTGTGGGATCTGAGTATAATAGATAGAAAGGAAAATAAAGAGGGAAGAATAGAAAGGTTGAATGCCCTTCTTGTTAGTGACAAGATTCTTTGTATGCATTGCCACTGAATAAAGAAAAGGACAATTGTATAATATCTCAATTCATCCATAATCAACAGCGTGTGTCATTCCGTCTATTCTAGGCATTATGGGGAGTGTTGGTGTCTTTGTTGTCTCGGGAAGACTGCACAGCTGCAGTTTCGCAAGCGTTTTTCTTTGTCTTGTATGAACTCCGTTACCAACATTCTCTCTCAGTGGTAATTCCCAAGAAATAAAAAAAATAAAAAGTAAAATAAAATGCTTTGGTAACATCAGAGTAACCTCTTGCTTACTAAATAAATGAATTGGAATGTGTATCCAGTTTGGAAGGAATGTATCCTAATTAGTACTTAGCTTTTACATAATCCTGCAAACAGACACCCCTTTAAACCTTTAGACCATTAGACGCCAAACCGCCAAACGAAGCGACCCAGCTTTTGGTAAACCCTGTCCCGGTGCAACCATGCCAATGAACTGCATCAGCCGCATCCGTTGTCTATGAAATGAACCCACTACCACCTTCACCGTTCATAATAGCTGCACTCCTCCGTGCATCAATGAATAAATCTTCGCATTCCCCTACATCCATCACATCAATCTGATTGCGACCGCTTACTCGCGCAAGTATGCTAGATGGCGTTAATAGCTGCAATGCATACCTTAGACTAATTCTTGAACCATGTTCTGTGAGTCTGTCTAATGCAGCTTCAGTTATCGCTAGACCTTCAACTGTAACTCGAATTCGAAGAATTCTCTTGATTTCATCCGCCTCGTAAGCGTTTGTGGGAACAATCAGAAGACGGGCCAAAAGATCAGAAGGAATTCCATGTGCCGAAATCAAATCTTCAGTGCCACGAATCGTGCACATGCCACGGTTGGAAGCGAGAATCACAATGGGAGAGATCGTTGATTCGAGAGCACGGTTCAGATATGTGAAGCATTCAAGATCGAGCATATGAACCTGAAATTTGTCAATAAACGAGAAGCGAAAGGCGTATTGAAGGCTTGATACATACCTCATCAATAAAAAGCACTCCTGGAACAAGCTCTGCCACTCCTTGGTCGATATATTTGTTGACGACTTTATTGATCTCTGAACGTAGTTTCTCCGTGATCTCAGTCATCTTTGGTTTCATCAATTGACCCATCATACTCATTATGTCTTGTCCTCCTTGCGGCCTAGCGTTCGCAATATCGAGATCATGTAGAGTAACGTCTTGTACTATCTCCTTCTTCTTGTGGACTTCTCCCTTTGGTATTGGCACATACTCCTCTGCCTCTAAATCGAACTCGGTCGCATATGCATCCGATCTGCCAACGCGTTTGCAAGCTCCAGTATTTGCTTCAATATATATAACATCTCCGACCGTAACTCTTTCCTTCTGTATAGCTTCGTAAATGCTTGGATCTAATCGTAACTTCTTTTGACCCTTTGCGCTCTTCAACCCAATCAATAATGTGCTGATAGTCTTGCCATAGCTTCCCAATGGATTTTCGGCTTCTTCTGGTGTTAGTTCAGTAACCTCGCCCTCGTAAACCTCCTTCGTTTCGCGAACTTTCAGACCAATGGCTCGTCGAAAATTTTCCATCAGCGCCTCGGTTTTCTTGACTTCTGTCGAGTATATTTCGCTTGCGACGATGGGGCAGAATGGCACTTTTGTTCCGAGTTCTTGACTGATAGCCAGCGCAAGAGCTGTCTTTCCAGTTCCAGGTCCTCCTGCGAGCAAAATAGCTCGACCTGCCATTTTCTGTGAACGAATTAAGTCGACAACCACACCACAAGCCTGCAATCAAAGTCTATCAGTTGAAGTCCTGCCATCCACTATGCATACCAACTCACCTCTCGAGCTGAAGTTTGACCGACAAATCCGCCGGCTTGCTTTTCAGCAGTACCATCATTTCGAAGTCCAAGACCCTTGATATGTGTATGTGAAGAAGTTCGATTGTCGCGGGTATTTCCCTTAACTTCGCTGAGATTGACCATAATTGCGATTTCAAGGTGGTATCAAATATCGGCAGTACTTTTGGTATAAAGTATTTTAGTTGTGTTGTAAAATACGGCAATTAAACTTCGTATCAAACATCAAATGCAGGAAACAAATTGATCGTAATTGGCTCTAAATCAAATTATCCCAAAGCTTTGATGATGAGTTACCAACCTGAGAACAATTTCGCGAAAGGCTGCACAATGTAAACGCGACTGAGAATTAAGCGTGAGATTTACGGTCACGTGAAACAATTAATATAAGGCTGAGATCCCTGACCCATTTTGCAGCTTTTCCTAATAAAGTCTGAAGTTTAATTGAAGTTTAAAGTCTGAAATCTATACCTAGTAGGTGTTTGTGAACTTCGATTAGACGCATGATTATTATGAGGCCTTCCATTAGTGCTGCATCTAGTGGTTAGATTTGGCAATCGGTCAAGCTTGCCTTGCAGCATATTATAATAGATCTCGCCAAGTGAACCTTGCATGACTGAACAGGATTTGGTTTGTAGTATGTGGTATGTTTTTTCTTAGTGTCATCTAATTCCTTCAAACGGTCGATTTCTCCAAGTGTATCGCCTTCTAATCCTTCCCAGTCCTCATGCCAAAGCCTGTCCTTCTTTTTATAAAAAACTCCTGAGCTATTTGGCAATGGTTAAGCCGTAGCTTTAGACGCCTTAAAACAAAATAAAATCTCATGCAATGTAAGGGTGAGTCCGATGTGAAAGAAAATCCGTCCATACCCCCCCTCCCCGCCCCCCGAACTTCCAAAGAAGTATGATATCCCAAAACACCGTAAAATCCATGCAATAAAACAAATGAAATATAAAATCAATGACAATCAAGAAACTCTCCATCTTCGCTGGATTTGTCAGCCGTTCTTGGGCGTTCGACCATCTCGGTAGGAGATTCGACCATTCTGTTTGGCCTTAATTGACTCAATCTCAACTTCTCATCAAATATGGCAACGAGTCTGTCGGAATATTGGTCAAGTAGTCCTGCTAGAACCGTCTCACTAATAGATTTCGACTTCTGACTCTTATCCCCTAACGCTAGTGAAGTGAGCCGTAACTCTTGATCCAGTTCTTTTAAACATTCTTCATCGACAGTTTCAGTGGATAAGAGCTTTCTCCGGTATGCTCGAAGTGTTCGACAGGCCTGTTCTGTCGCCACGTTAAGTGATCCGAACTCGCTGATTCCAATGCTAGAGGCTTTGCCACGACCCCTCAAATCTACTGTGGCTGTTGAGGGACGTCTCAGTTCTCTTGTCTGAGGACTGCTTGGGCTACGAGATCTGTTCCTTGGAGAAGTCCTCCGACCTGACTCGTCCGATGCAGATGCAAAATGCTTGGTTGGCACAGCTGGTACTGATGGAATTGATAATGTGGGGTTTGAATTTGCCAAACTGAACTTCGAAGTCTTGCGTCGAACTACTCTAGGGGGCGAAGACCGTCCAGAAGGAGTAGCGATTGGTGATGCCCGTTGAAACTCGGCAAGCTCGGCTTTCGATAAGACTTTCCTTAGTGGCTGCCTTAAGGTTGTTGGCTCCTTTGGCGGTGGTTCATCACGAGCGGCGTCATTTGATTCGGATTGATTGGGAAGGTCTGTGGCGTTGGAAGCAATATCCCACATCATGATTGTACCATCTAAACCTGTACTTATCAAGACTCTAGAAGATGAATCGGGGTTCTCCAGAAGTGCTACGCCTGATACGGAAGTAGTATGCCCCCATTCTCGGTCTAGGAAAGATCCAGTATTCCAATCATAGATACGGACAGACTTATCGGTAGTCGAGACACCAGCGAGAATCGTACTAGGTTTGCCAGAAAGCGTACTAGGTGTACTCATGGCCAGACAGTCTAGAGCAACAGCGTCTGCTCCATCGTAATCGGTTGCTCGGAATGAGTTTACCAGACGACCACTAGCTATATCATAGGTAGCTACAGTGCGATCTAATAAAGACACCACAATGTTACCCACTTGAGCACCGAGACAAGGCGTCATTGAGACCGGAGCAGCTTTCAAGGTAATGATGCGGACTGGCACAGCAGCCAGCACGTCGCCCTCTGCTGATTCCTTCTTGACAATCTGCCTAATATGAATTGTCCTATCCATGCCGCACGATATGAGCTTCTCACCATTCTCAGCAAAGAACAAACCACACACACCAGCAGTATGCTCCTCCAAGGTTTGAACTAATTCCCACTTGTCAAAGACCCGGCGAAATATTTGGATGGTCCGGTCTCGACTACAGGAAGCTACCATAGTTGATCTACCATCCTCATAAATGGCGATATCTTGAACCTCGGCAGAATGAGCACGAGTCTCAAAAGTGCATGCACCAGTAGATGGATCTAGTATCTTCAACACCCCGCACTTGTCTCCGGAAACCAAAAACAAGGCTTCCTTGGATACCCTAACGACTTGGCACGAATTGACAGTTTCATCCTCTATGGATACTTGATCTATGCCGATTGTGACCGAACCTTTGCTGTTACCATAAAGGTCCCAGTAGGCAAGGCTGCCATTAACCGACCAGGTAAGAAAAGAGGCGCCCATCCGATTGTTCTCGGGTAAGAGCTGGACGCCCATGACCGCATCGCCATGTGCAGGTTGAAATGTGTTTTGAAATCCATGGTCCGTGTCATCGTCGTCTTTGCCCCATGTCTCAATTGTATGCCGAGAATCAATTGTAACAAAACTTCTTCCGGCGTAACCCATAGCACATAAATGACCAGCGTCAACTTCGTCATTAAAATCATCTGCCGGAAGAGGTGACAATGGAGGAGTACTTGGAGCTAGAAGGGTGTCTAAGGATACCGTCTTGACTTTACCATTGCGACCTCCTATCCTTACTTGTCGCGTTTCCATTTCAATAGCAACACATGTGACGGGAAATCCCGTGCTCAAAACTTTCAATAACTTTTGACCTTCCGTGCTATCTAGGAGGCAAACGTCTCCTTTTTCTGAACAGACAATGGCCCTGTGATCAGATAATGAAGCCACACATGTGAAGGTTGCATCTACCAATGGTCCAAGTAAACAGTTCCGGCCAGCAAGGGTCTTGAGTGCTGGTTGAACTGGCAGTGGCAATGGTGTGCCGTCAAGTGCAAATTTTTGTTTTGGCGAGGGACACCGGCCATCATCGACCCGCCAAACTTTTATGTGGCGAGTTCCTACTGTTACTACGTTCCCTCCCAGCCATAACATTTGCTTGATGAAACTAGTACATTTGTTGCTCGAATGTAGCTTTGCGGTTCCATTCTTTTGATTTATGGCCCAAACATGAAGAAATCCATCATTGACATTACCTAGACTGGCTAGGTATTTGCCATCAGGACTGAAGGCTATAGCAGACACACCATATGTATGCTCGGTGAGAATGGCGAGTGGTGTATCTGACGAATTCTCTTGCAGATAGAATATGAGAACCCTAGGAGCGTATCCTGTCTATATTTTGATCAGCCAATATACACATCTCTACGCAAGATCGCTTACCTCGCCTACGGCTAAAAAGCGACCATCTGAACTGATAGATACACATGTAGCCGCTTTTATTCTTTCCCTGCTCGACCATGTCCTTGATGGAGAGTCACCTGATTCTAATCCTGTATGTGCCGTGGATGGTGCATACGGAATTGCAGCATCTCGAAATCCTTTTCCGTTTCTGCCATCGGTGGCATTGGTGGCAGGCGTCGAGGGCCCACCCAAGGTTGCATTACTCACATTGGCAGCAACTGCTGTTGGAGAAGCCCGAAAGAAACGTTGGAAGTGTTTCCCCTCATCGTCAATATCAACAACCACTACGGTAGCTCCAGCTGTATATGCAAATATTCGAGAGCTAGAAAGACAATCGAAGCATGGTGGAGATGATACTGTAGTTCCAATTACCTTCTTCAGTGACAATCCCAACTCGTAGGGATTCCGGTTCTGTTTCGAGGGCCGCGGGGTTCGTGGAAATGGAGAAGGACTAGATTTCAAACCGAGACTTGTGTTCGCAGCGAAGGTCCTTGGGTTAACGGGTGTTGATGCCATTATCGATCAACCATGAAACAAACACTGGGACAATCAAAATGTAATGGTCGAAGCTCTTCGACTATTATCTGCAGATGTTGATTGGTGCTTATATTATAAATAATTCAGGAAAAGAGTTTTGATTTTCGTCTCGTCTCGAAAGAAAAGTAGGGTATACTGTAATGGAACATGAGAAAATCAAAGCTATAATGACGTTGGTTAGCTTGTTAAATTTTCCTATCGTGACTTTCTTTACTCACAGATTAGATATGGAAAAAAGATGGGACGGGAGAGAGAGAGAGAGAAAGAAAAAAAAAAGTCAAGAGAGGGTCTCCTCAAACGTCGGTGACTCGATATCGGTGACGATGAGTTGGTGAGTGATGAGTGGTGAATGGGTCAGAAAACCTTCATGGTTCTCCCCCCAAAAAATGCAAAAAAAAATAAGTGGCGGATCAACCCAGCTTGGTTCTCTATCTTTGCCCTATCCTATCGTGACATGTAATGAATGAATCTTTTGCTAGGGATCTTCAATATAAGGTGATACGGGTTGTCAACATAAAATGGTCTGTGTTTACTATGGTCTGTACCCTTGCCCTTGTTGACAGGGACGTGTTAATCAGGGGAATGCTCGGGAATGGATCTACGAGTACTTCCCATATTGAATGTTTTTAAAGTTTAATTGCCCATCAATTCATCTACCAGATCTGGAGTTTTTAATATTGAAATTTGACAACCTCTATGTCTTCGCTTCGTTTTCGAGTTAGATTATGAAGTACAGGTGCTGTACTCGTATACCCAGATATCAATACTCGAGTAAATAATATCAGTGTTGCACTGTTAGGCGTATAATCCAGTATAGTTGATCAGTTCTAATTTTACACAATACTCTTGTATAGGCGACTTGGGCAACTTAACCTAGGTGAGAAAGTGGGCAGAAGGAGGAGTACCGGTAGTGAGGCTTCGAATACACCCTGTCTAATTTGATCGTGTGTCTCCCAAATACCCTCGAACCTTTAAGATTGAGTACACCAGTCCACATATGTCGAATGCAACATCAATAGGATGGCAGCATGCCAATTAGAAAATTGTCGATCGATGTGTGATCTCGTTCCTCTGCATGGGTATGTTCATAATCTTACATTAACATTCAAAGACATTTCAAGCTCAAAATATCCTATCCTCCATCTCATCCTCAAAACTATCAGACTCCTCAAGACTATCAGATTCCTCTGACCTTTGAGATTCGGAGTTCCCAGGCCGACTAGTCGTGAGGGTAGGAATCGCTCTCTTCTTCCACTCCGGTTTGCCCTTACCTATACCCTCCTCTCGCCATTTCCTAGGTGGTTTTACGCCCAATTCAGCATATTTAGTCCATACGTCCTTTCCTCTTTGAAACCATCTTCTCTCACGGTCGGACTCTTCTTCTGGCGTCGGTACCCAGTTGGTTCTCAAGATTCTTCGGATTGCTTCAGCAGATACCTCGAAATGATCGGCCAGTGCAGCCGTGGAATATTGCTCGGAGTATTGGGCATGTAGTGCGCGAATCCCTGCCTGTGCTTCTGGCGACAGCCTTTTCATGGGCTTCCATCCCTCAGGGAATTTTTCCTTCAGTGCTGCTTTCTGCACCATCCAACTTTCACGCAATGGAGGTGTCCAATCATAATCTTTACCCACCATGTTCTTCTTGAGTGTGCTGGCTTGTGGGTTAGGTGATACTGCGTTGTCGATTTGAACGCTTCTAAACCTGGTTTTCTCCGCCTCGGCATTCCACCTTGCCTTCTTCATCGGCCTTGAAAATATGTCTAACGGCTCTCTCTGAACCCACGAGTCCTCCCACGTCTCTGTCGGTCTAATCAATTCCCTTGGTTTGTCTGATTCCCATGATACCATTGATTCCCTTGACCCCAAGGTTGCCAGCTCAGATTTTGTCTCCGCTGCAAGCGCATCTATTGACTCGGGTGTAATTTCCAGGAAAAAATCATCCATATCTTCGATCTCGTCTTGTGTAGTATTCCGGGGCAAATCCACCGCAGAGCTCAATTCTTCCCGACCTTCGGTAGGCGCATCTTGATCAGTATTTATTACGGGTTGAAATGAGTGTGCGGTTGAATACGCTCTCGAATGCAGAGGCTGTAGAGATGGAACTGAAGGAACATTGAACCTTCGAATGTTGGACCTTCTTAGTCGGTAAGGAGAGGAGCTTGATGTAGATGTAGCTAAATCAAGTTGGGCTACATTTCGAATGAACAATCGGAGAGTTCTTGTCGTGCAACAACAAGACATGGCTATTCATATTCTTGGATGAAAATAAGTTTATGGGGCAAGTGAGAAACATTGGGATTTGATGGAAAAGAAAATCTTCGCCTAACAAATTTGGGTTCTTATCGGTATTCTTATCGGGGTATTGATTCATTCACTCATTCAACTCCGAATTGTCTTGGTCTTCATTTCACTTCACTCTTCACTTCACTCTTCACTTCACTCTTCACTTCACTCTTCACTTCATTTCATTTCACTCACTCACTCCAGTTTCTTTCTATGTTGAATATGAGAATCAATTAATTGATTGCTAGTGATTCCTATCTTGCTATTCATGAACTCCGATACTCATTTGTCGATATATAGCAGATAGTAGACCATGATAATATCTAGCTAGGTAGGTGAATTAGCAGGAGGGAGGCGACTTTAGATCTGATTCTCGATTTGCATTTTGCATTTTGCCTTTTGCCTTTTGCCTTTTGCCAAAGCAAATGACTTTCCTGCTTGTCCATAAGTGTATTCTAAATAACTTTGCTTTGTTTCCTTTCGATCAATGGAATAGTCCTCTGGTCTTTCTTCCTTCACATATCACAATTCACATGGCTTGGCCGAGTCCTTTCCGGCGAAATGATGAAAATACTCGCCACGTTTGGGGATACACTTTCCAATGGACCCCTGAGCATCTCACTGAAGAGCAGATGCATCCTATGAAGTTTTCATATGATGTTTTGGCTGAAGAGTGCTTGAATCGTTTAGATAACATATCGCCACCCATTTCGGGAGAATTGCCACGGAATCATAATAGATTTCCTAATAAATCGGAAGGCGAGGAAAAGCCGAAGAGAGATTTATATGCTTTGTTAAGAGATCATTCTTCTGAGGATGAGAAACTGGGGAAATTGTGGGAAGAAGTTAATACAATACCGGATTGGGTTGTGAGTGGTCTAGCGACCTTGATTCTGGTAATTTGCTGAAACAACGTCTAGGATTGGGATCAAATTGGGAGAGGTCAAGATGTCTTTTACAGATATGGAGGTGCTGCGTTGACTGGAGTATGTTATCTGCACTCTACAGTGCCATGTGGATACTGATCTGACATTCAACAGCTTGCATATCAATCATTGCTTGGTGGAATGGGTGCAGCTAGAGTTACAGAGGTTCTAGCTAGGACTGGTGGCTTTTCTACAAAGGTAAGACAGCCTCAGCATCCACGAAGAACGTCATATGTCTCCTTCCTGAGCAACCTCTCTTGGGGTTTCATAGTGGCAAAAGTTGTGCCCGAGTCACATCTGCAAATTACAGCTCCCAGTCTCATTAATCTCACACACCAATCATCTTCCACTCGCACCCCACAATCATCTGATAAAGCTATAGGTAGCCAGAAGAAGAATGTTTGAAACAACTCAACTCATCCTTCAAGTGACCCAATCCATCGAAGCTATCAAACCCGGCGGCACCGGCCACATAGCATCCATAAAAGTCCGCCTTCTTCACGCAGCCGTCCGCCGTCGAATCCTCGCTCTCGCCAAAGAAAAACCCTCCTATTACTCCGTCGAAGAATACGGCATTCCCATCAATGATCTCGACAGCATAGCAACCGTCGGTACCTTCTCCGCAACCCTAATCTGGCTCGCCTTTCCCCGCCAAGGCATCTTCCTCCGCTCCCAAGAAATAACCGACTACATCGCCCTCTGGCGTCTCATAGCCCATTACCTCGGAACCCCCACCTCCTATTTCTCCACTCCCACCTCCGCCAAATCCATCATGGAATCCATTCTCCTCACCGAAATCCATCCCTCTTCCACCTCCCAAATCCTCGCCAACAACATAATCCTCTCCCTACAAAACCAACCTCCCACCTACGCCTCCCGCGATTTCCTCGTCGCAAACGCCCGCTGGCTCAACGGTTCCGCCCTATCCGACGCCCTCGGTCTCGACACCCCCTCACTCTACTACTCGGCCCTCGTCGCTGGCCAATGCATATTCTTCATGGCAATCAGCTACCTCTATCGCAGCATCCCCTATCTAGACCGCAAACAAATCAACACCCTCAAACGTATCTTCCCGCTGGTGATTCAAAATCGTGAGTATGGACTAGCGCGTGAAACGGATTTTGCACTGCAGTACATGCCGGAGCTGGACACAAAGACGGAATTGGGCAATTGTAGGGTGGGAGTAAGGAGTAAGGAGGGAGGGATAGAGGGAAGGAATTTGAGAGCGTTGATTTTGGCGGGAGTGGGATTGGGAATGGGGAGTTGGGGGTTGTGGAGGGGGGTGGGGTGGGTATGGGGGGTCGTGGGGAGGGGGTGAAGGGAGAGGGATGGAGGGTTGGAGGATCGAGGGATTGGCTAAGGTAGGTGCTACTTATTATAGCTGTATATTTTGTAACCATATAGAAACTTGTATATCATCCCCCATGTATATATATATGTATATATAATTTTATCTACTCGAGTACCCAACATAGCATATCATATCATTCTCCAAAGACACACGCTCAGCATCATATCAAATCACATCACATCACATCACACCAAACAAAAAGACTCTCACAACTCTTCTCCTTCTCCATCTTCGATCCCCCAAAAAGATAACAAACCAAGATTTCGAGTCTCATATCTGCACATCTGCATACCTGCACATCTGCACATGTGAAAGAATGAAATTGAATAGAAAAAGTACTCGTAGGGTTTAGTTGAATATCTCCAGCCCATTCATAAAGGAGATACCGGTACATGATACTGAGTTTCCCCTTCTTCCCGTCCATTTAAGATACTGATGAAAACCATGTGCGCCAACCCTACCTACCCATATGATGTCTCCTCCACTGTTATGCAATTATTGGTTGTACATTTTATTTTTTGGTGGAATGTGCGCTTGCGTTTGACTTTCCCCATTCATCTATCATCCGGTATCTACCCATCTACTGTGAAATAACCTTTTTTGATTTCGTGGTATCCAGATGTTGGATGGAAGTAAATCATGCTGCCCCAATATATATCGTGTTTTCTCGATCGATATCAAAAACCCTTTGCAATCCGAAGGATATAATTTCCTGATAATCGGTAATACCTTGAGATGAGCCACGATCGATGCTTGATAGAAAAAGATTATCCCAATCTGATCAAGCACGGATAGAAACCCTCTACCATCCACCCTGACCACTCTGACCATGCTGGCCATAAGGAGTAGCACCATAAGGAGTAGCCGCACCACCGGCACCACCCCAATCATTTCCCCCACCATATGGCGTAGCATAGCCCGGATCCTGCCAGCTCTGACCATTCATACCGACATCTGGACTCTGAGGCGCATCGTACCCACCACCATTAGCTTGTCCGTCGCCCTCGGTAAGATCTTGGAGGACCGCAGCCAATTTTTGTTGCATAACCTTAATGCCCTGTTGGATAATAGCATCGGGCTCTAGGTTACCGATCGATTCGACTTCAAAGTAGAAGTTGTTGGGCACGGCATCGTAATCAAAGGGGGCGCCTTCTTGGGCTGGTTCTTCCCAATCCGCGTATTTACTCTTGGGCCTGTAGTGGCTAAGTAAGCACAATTTCAAAGTTCCACTAAAGGATCATATACGTACCATTCCTTTGCAGCGTCGTGCTCATACCACAAATCGATATGCTTCAATTTGTTATGTGGATCATACTCGAACGCGACAGCAGCGGTAGGTGCCCATTTCGCATGTTCCTTTGCAATGCCCTTCAAGGCTATACATTTCATGCGCAACTCCTGCCCCTTTCTCAACTTGGCAATTACGGGTCCAAGTCCTTCCGGATCTGTGATGACAGGATTTCCTACCCATTTATTGGCACGTTGCGGATCGACCACCAAATCGCGAGCATAAACCTTCATGATTTCGTCACCCGTACATCTCGCGTGAAGAGTAAGTGTAACACTGCAAAGCTCGCAGTTACCATCGCAATCGCAATCTCTTGTGTAAATGACATCGTCACAGTTTTTAGAATTCAGCGGGACGAGACCAAGTCGATGCGCGATAAATTCATCTGCTAGAACCGATGTATTGGCTTCTATCTGTACTCGATCAATGGCGATCGTTGGAACTTCCGAGAGAATGGTTCGACGGAGCGAATTCGCAAAGGAGAGGTCAACGTTGGATAATTCAAAATCGACGTGAAGTGAACCAGCCTATGACATAATGTGCGTAAGTTTCCCAATCATTGGAGATGGCTATAGCACAATTGAAATATACCTCTGTGATCTTGACTTGAGGTCCTGAGGACTCCTGGTCCATTACCATGGGATCGTAATCCATTTTGGCTGAGTCGACAAAGAAATTTGCGGGTGGGCTATGTGCTTTCACGCTGGGTGGAGGAACCTCGAAGATTCGATGACAAAACAAATTCGAGGACAACACAGATTAATCCTTAGGCTAAACTCAAATCTACGCCGAGTAATTTCTCTATTAATAAATAGGCTGAGCCTTCAGATCAATGACGAATTCCGAATTGCGACTGTAGGCAGTCTGCAAGGCTGAGATGTCTGTTGATGAAATTTAGATTGTTGCAATAATTATCATAGCATAGATACCTACTGCGGTTGCAAGTTCCTTGTTCTCGGACGGGACGAACGGCAAAATGGTTTACCCGAGCCGAGCCTCGCTTGAATTGCTTACATAATCTCAAGTCTCAATGTGGATGGATATTGGAGGCTATGTTCGTCGTGTTGGGCCCAGAACATAAAAGATCAACTCGGACAAGACCTTGTGGCAAGAATACGAAGAAAAACTATTGAGAGGGTTACGAATGTTTATAACTACGCCTCAGAAGACTTGCTGAAATATTGAAACCGGTCTTGCCGTTCTCCAACACATGAATATGGGGTATTTTATCATGTTAGCAATCATTTCCTTTGCAAACGGAAGGCTGAGTATACAGTAGTATTAGTAGAGGGATGTTGTAGCGAAAAGTGCAGAGTTGGCTATGTGAATTCCGACCTTGACATCTTGACTCCATATTGTGCTTGATTGGAGTAGACAAGCTGAAACCATCTGGATTTGTAACCTTCATGAATCAAAATCCGGCATACCGTTGCTCTCCAGGATTCAATGTCAATCATTAATTGTCATGACGATGAGGGGACCAATTTATCACAGCCTATCATAATGATGAGGAATTACCGCTGCGCCCTCAGCAAGAGATATGGAGACAAAAATCACAACTGGGGTTTAATCTCGCATATTCGCTCGCAAATGTTCAATCTAATTACCCCCGCCAAATCTGGGCATTGTAGTTAGGTTTAGGTCATCTATGAGATGATAATGAATGAATTGGAACACAGGAGCCATTCCGTGACTCCGTATGTATGTACCGGTACGGTGAGATACCCTCGAGCTAAGTTCAGTATATAATTTGTGAATCATTGTCATATAACATAATACTAGAGTATGAGTATAGCCGTTAGCCGTTATATCCAGTGACCTGGGTAATCATCTGTATATGTGATATATGATACTGTATATGAATATGAATATGAACTCAACACTTTCGTATACTCCGCTCATCACCTTCCTCATTCAAGGGTCTTTTATCGAAATTCGAAAACAAAGGTAGAAACACGGATGATGTTTCGTAGTTGCATCGGAAGACGACCCTTGGAAGCGCCTAATGAAGTATTTCGTATGAGATATGAAATCAGAATCTGATCAAGTGGCTGGGATTTATGTTATTGGTTCGATTGACCCGCTTGTTCTATTTTCCCTTTTTCTTTAGAACAACTACTCGAGTAGATTACCTAAAGTAGATATTACAAGACAAGACAAAGACAAGGTTTACTTTTTGCTTCGCGTTGCTCAGACTAAAACTTTGTTTTGCTGCGCCATTATTCGCCTCCAATGCAAACAGTAATTATGAGTCCCGCTAACGTTAAACCGCGACCACCATTTTTAATGTCCGAAAAGCAACTAGATAAGTACACAGACAGGTATTATCAAGCTCCAATTCTTTACAGGTACAAAGACAATTGTTTCGCCCTCTTCTTTTTGGTAATCTTTTCTTCTCTATCAATCAATCAACTTACAAACAAACTACCTTTTCAATTAAATTATTCTCTTCTATTCTCTTCTCTATTCTATTCTCAAGTCGAATTGTTAAGCTATCAACAAAACACTTTAGACTTCACACTTCACACTTCACCGCAACTCACATAAATCTACCATCACAATCGATATATTCAAGATGTCATCCCCAACTTCCCCAACAGGAAGCACACTTTCTTCCCGCCGGGGCTCCCACAAATCGCTCTCCCTCGACTTCTCCAACCTCCCCCCTCTCATCCAACCCACACCCCCCTCCAACACCCTCCTCATAACCAACCTAAAAGATACCGAGATATTCCGCGCCGACAACCTCCAAACCATCCGCTCCCTAATCAACACCTCCGCCCCTATCCACTCCTTCGTACCCCTCAAATCTTTCTCCCGGATAATCGTCTCCTTCTTCGACGACGACTCCGCCATCCGCATCCGGCAGATCCTCGACCACGAAGAAATCATGGGCGAACAAGTGCGCGTGTACTTCGGCCAACCCACATCCATCTCCCCAAAAGACACACACCTGAATCTCCCCGACGCCGGAAAATTATTCTTCATCTCCCCTCCCCCTTCACCGCCACACGGCTGGGAAATGAAAATGGAAGATGCACCCAACAAGCAAGTGCACGCGGAGGATTTAGCCGAAGCCCTTGCGAAACTGCATCACAGACCTGCGACAGATTTACCCGCGTCGCCCATGAGTGACAATGGCGAGACGACTTCGTCGTCACTGAAGAATGGAAGAGGCAGAAGTTCGAGCACGACAACCATATATGATCCCCAGGCTCACGGATTCAGTCCCAATCTCCCCGCGATAGCGGTGGAGGATACGACGGGAGACGATTGGGGCATGAGTCCATTGGAGACAGATAAAAAGCCAATCTTTGCGCATACGTCGCGGCCGCCGGTGGAGTTGATGGAGTGTTAGATGCGGGGATGTGTGGCATGTGTATATGAATTGAAGGATGGATGGATGGATGATGGGGTGGAATTAGAGAGGCAGTTAATGATCTTTTCGGCATTTTGTTGGCGTTGGGTTTCAGACAAAAGAGGGATTCCTAGCTGTTTGTTTTTTCTTTTTCTTTTTCTATGAGATGTGGCGATGCGATACGATGCATAGCGAGGAGTGTGGGATAATACTAAACTACCCATGGCGTTTTACTACATACAAGAGAGCGAATAAATGCTCTGATTCGACAATGTATGATAGATATATGAAGAGGGAGAATAGGCTCCTGATGATAATCATGTGAAATACAAATACAAAACATTCAATTTTCAATTTTCCCCTTGCTTTTCTAAATTATGATTTCTTGATATACTCGTACATATTCAATGTATATATATATACATGTACTACTTTCACTTTGCCCCATCTACTCTAGTATTTGCAGAGCAATTGACGCAGATTTTGCATTTTCCGAATACAAAGACTGAGGAACGCCATTCATTTACGAAGCATTGAGATCTAGAATCTAGCTCTTATCTATGGGGAGCCATGCATGCATCTATTCTATCTATTCTATCCAATCTATACATTGATTGATCAATCTATCCCGTATCGTATCGTATCGTATCATGACCCACTAACGCCGAAGAAATCTGGTCGACGGGTGTGTCTATATCTAGGTATGTAGGAAAGTAGGTATGTACCCTTGTGTGAGAGTATGTAGGGATTGCGGAAAAGGGAGAGTGTGTCTATATTCGTGGACTTACAGGGAGTCCAATGTTTATTGCTGCTGCGAAGGAAATTCTATATTTAGGATCGTTATGTGTGTGTGTTTTTGTGTGTTTGTGTAACCTTCGTACAGAGACCTGGAAGGTTTTTGTTTAGACAACCGTAGCTTCGGGCTCTTTGATTCCTTTCAGAGATCGATACAATTCCTTGTGTTTCTCAAGGAAAAGGAATGTTGCGATTGTGTGAGGTCCTATATTCTCTTCTATTAGCTTCCCACCTCCTTCCTGTTCCTCGCACTTTCGTATTGTTCTCGACCTGTGTTTCGAAAAAGGGGGATAGAAACTTACCCAAGCGAATAAAACTCGGTACCCAACCCCTGAACATCCACCCAACTCCCTCAACCTTATACACATCTGCCAAAAGTTTCGCCAACCCCTTACTCTCATGACTACTCATGATTCTCGTCTTAATCACATCTACTGGACTACAAACTGTTGTAGCCACGAATCCCGCCATCAATGAAGCAGTAAAATGTGTCGAGAGTCCATCTTCCATTGACGTATGTCCAATAAGAAGCTGTTTGAAAGCATCATATGAAGCCAATTGAGAGGCAGTCATCAAGACAGCTCTCATACTATTTGGCCACACCCCACGGAACAAACTTTTCCACCCTTCCTCTTTCGTCATGCGTATTAACCCATCCACAGCATTTTTATAGTTTCTTCTCTGTTCCACTGGAAGCGCGGCATCATGCTGCATGCGCACGTTCAGTACATCTGCAGGATTTCCCACGATTCCGCCAAGAAAACCAGAAGTTGATGCCATGGCAATAAGAGTGGGAAAGGAGGGAGGTTTGGTTCCTGATGTGAAGTTTGTCTTGAGTCTTTCGTAGATACCAAATCGGGTGGTACTATATGTTATCTGACGGAGGAGAGATGCGCTGAGTCCGGAATAAAGTCCAACGAGCCCATTGTGCTTCAAAACGTGCACAAATGTGCCAACCATAGTTTTTGGTGCATTACCGGATCGAGTCTGTAATCTGACCTAGCGATAGGAAAATGTTTAGTATTGGGCAATGGGTAGGAGTCGGTATTTGCGCATTCATGGGGAAGGAATTATACCTTAACTAGAACATAATTAAAATCTATTCGCACATATAATCCAAATTCCCAACTCAAAGGACTTCACATACCAAGATCTAATGGATGAGTAACACAAGCCGCAAAACAACTTGCACTACCTCCAAACCAAAACGGATACTGAACAATCTCTGCTTTAACTTCTGCTTTCACCACTCCTCCCACACTCTGTTTCCCGCTCGACATTGTTCCACTTGTTCCAAATGTTTCTTCTCGAGGTTCATTCCGAGTTCGTAGAGGATTATACAGGAATTGGAGGACGAGGGACGGAAATGAAGAAAATATACAATTGGCGGAGAAGTAGTGGAGGGAAGAGATAGGAGCAAAAGTGGATAGGCCAAAAAAGTAAACAGGAACAAAACTGGGGAAGATTATAGGTACGTATGAGATAGGAAAAGGAAAATAGGATTTTGATTCTCATGAATGATAATTGATGATTGAAGATAATATGTTCTGTATGTACAAATTGATATGAAGGGAACAACAGAGGACATCCGTAGCTGTGAAGTCAAAATACTTTTTAACTTATAGATAATCGAGAACGGCGGTCGCGGCGCGCATGGCTATGGGCTTCTCAAGGAGTCTTTCGTCATTTTGAGAATCGGGTCTAAGCGGCCGCTGGGACTAAATTTTTCCGAAAGATTATGGGGAGCTATTTTCCCCATAGAGAAAATGATTGGAGTCGAAACTCATAATCATGCGACTTCTTACGGCAACTGGAACCTCTTTCTCAAGGAGGAATGAGATACTGAAAACTTTCATTAGTTTGAGGAACAGCGCTTCAAGAAGTTGGGGGGTCTGCGGACGATGCCGATATAATTCCTCACTAACGGGTTTGTGAACACAAAATTATCCCTCGATTCCCGAAGCGCTACTAATACATTCCCGTTAGATCTTTCTTCTGTGACTACAAAAGCTCCGGATACAATCGCCAATGAAGAACATAAGAAAGATGATTGGTACAATGTCCCACAATCGATTACTGATTCTCTCTCCCGAAGTCTACACACAACATTAGATCACCCTATTTCCATAACTCGTTCAATAATCGAATCAAGATTTCCCTCGCCTACCTACAAATACCACAACAAGTTCTCCCCCGTCGTATCTACACATCAAAATTTTGATTCTCTAGGATTTCCCCCAAATCATCCCGGGAGAAGTAAGACGGATACATACTATATAAATAAGGAAACGGTATTGCGAACTCATACAAGTGCACATCAAGCAGACGTGTTCCGCAGTAATGAGAGCGAAGGATTTCTCATCAGCGCAGATGTATATCGCAGAGATGCAATCGATCGAAGTCATTATCCTATCTTTCACCAAATGGAAGGAGCAAGAATGTGGGATCGCATGAAGGTTCCAAATGGAGATATCGCCGCAGCTGTTTGGAAAGACATCGATGCCCTTCCTAAACATGATATGAATGTTGAAGATCCAAATCCTCCTTTCCATGCGCAGAGAAATCCATTGCAAGGAGAACATACAGAGGCGGAAGCCGAAGCTATCGCGGCACATCTGAAAAAGAGTCTGGAATTAATGGTGGCAGAGATATTCTCTCGTGCAAAACGAGCTGCCATAAAGGCGGATCCGAATTTCGTCGACGAGCCATTGAAAGTACGATGGATAGAAGCTTATTTCCCATTCACGAGTCCATCCTGGGAGCTAGAAATCTTTTGGCAGGGGGATTGGCTAGAAGTGCTCGGATGTGGTGTTGTTAAACAGGATATTATGCAAGACTCAGGTGTTCCAGACCAACTCGGATGGGCGTTCGGTATAGGTTTGGAGAGGATTGCCATGTTACTTTTTGAGATACCAGATATTCGATTGTTCTGGTCGAAGGATGAAAGATTCCTCAGTCAGTTCAAAGGAGTCTCGAAAAATTTGAAGAATCTGAAAAGATTCATTCCGTTCTCGAAACATCCGGCATGCTATAAAGATGTCTCCTTTTGGCTACGATCATCTTCATCGTCAGGAGGTAGTATTGCGGCTAATGCACATGATTTTCATGAAAATGATATCATGGAGATCGTAAGGGATGTAGGAGGAGATAGGGTGGAGGATGTGAAGAAGGTAGATGAGTTTACACATCCAAAGACGGGAAGGAAGAGTTTGTGTTATAGGATTAATTACAGGAGTTTGTCAAGAAATTTGACAAATGAGGAAGCAAATGAGATGCATGAAAGGGTCACCAAAGATTTGACGGGGAAATTGGGTGTAGAGTTGAGATGATTGATGATACTACAATAGAATGAGAAACTCGTTCTTGTCGTTTCTTATATTATGATACCCAAAAGATACTTCTCATCTTGCATTTATATTATATGATCAAGAAATCGAATAAGCTCATACTTTACTTGCTGCTTTCCGTGAAGTCTGCTCGTGGCTTGACTCGTTACCAGTGTCTCACCGGGAGCTTTTCTAATTACTCACCTCGAAGTTTGGGCTCCCCGGGAACTCACCGGGAGTTCCACAAAGAGCTCTAGAAATCGCAGATGATGTTCACCGGGCGTCATTTCGTTGATGCGGGAGCTTTCGCTCCGCATACGTCATTGATATTGGATCTGCATCGATGTATTTCAACAACTTCTACATATTGTGATTGATTTTCTATTTGATAACTACAATTGGAAATACGAGGGAAACGTTTTGAGATTTGAAATTTAAAGGAAAAGTATAACACAACAAGACGAAAAGAGGAAAGTAAGAAAGAAAGAAAGAAAGAAAGAAAGAAAGAAAGGAAAGATGACGGAAGCTACGAATACGAAGATGATGGATACGGAGAGGGGAGGGGAAAATACTCAGTGAGTTGGTTGATTGTGTTGTCTGTTTTTGTTCTGGATTGTTGGGATTGGGATTGAGGAATTGGAGAGGATGTTGTGGGGGTATGATATGATGTGTATGATATCGATTACTGATGGATGATTTAGATATGAATCTCAAAATATATTTACACAATCTCCCGCCAAGGATCAGGGAACCTTAGGAGGTATATCTTATTTCTCCATTTCTCCAATCAACTACTCTTTATCTCTTAGCTCTTTATCCCCTAACACACGAGTAAATCAAACGCACCCACTCATCAAAGTAGACTCCACCGGTCCAACCGAAGCCACGCTTCAGAGCGCAGCAAAACATAAAGCGCGGGGAGAAAAGACGGCTGAGAATATTAGATATGGAGAGGCGATTAGCGAGCATGGGTTTGGGGGGGAGACGGTGGGGAATGAGGGGGGTGTGGGGTTGGGGTCGGAGTCTGGGGATGGAAAGGGGGAGGGGGGAAAGGAGAGTGAGGTGGATGTGAGGAGGAAGATGGGGTATGCTGGGGGGAGTGGCGTTGGTGGGTAGAGGTTAGAGGGTAGAGGGTAGAGGGTAGAGGGTAGTAGAGGGAAGGGGAGTGTGATGTGATGGGGATGGGTTGAGGATGTATGATATGATATGATGGGGAATCGTCGTAGTGGTGCTGTTTTGAGGTCTGTTTAGTAATTGGGTTAATGGATTAGATATATTATGAGAAATGAGCAAGATGATATAGAAATGATAGGTGCCGGAGAAAACAATGATTTATATGACAATGTTCTCCTACTAATCGAAATCTTAATGACCACAAACCAAGACCCAAGACCCAAGGAATACTGCGATTCTCACAAGAGAGTACTTCTACTTCATAACAAGTGGTAAAGATTCAGAATCTAAAATTTGTTCACATATCTAGATATCTAGCAAGTAGTACTCGTAAAACCCCAGGACATACATAGTTTGGTCACTCAGCTGAAAGATACTATATGGTATAGTATGGTATGGTAAAGGATTTAGATGGGCATGGTAACTTGGAGCATGCATGTCGTATAATTGTGGTGTGTAGAGGGGTGCAATTTATGAGGGAGGGAGGGCTGCTTATTGCTGACTGCTGAGTATATGATACCTTGGAGCTCTGAGGTGCCATCGTGAGTTTGAGAGGGCTCTTGGGGGTGCTTGGGACTCTTGGGATAACGTCAGATTATCTTAGCAGTCATATTCTAGTCTGTTGCCGTGTAACTATCCGGTATGGTAAATTAGGTTATCACTAGGTGCCGTCATGTCATGATCATGATGGGACGGCATGGTATGGTAAGGCAAGGTAAGGTCGCATGCGAACTATTCCATAAATTCCATTTGAGGTTATATCTCAAGGCATCATAATTAGTTAAATTATCGTCGTTGTACTCTGTAGGACGTTAGGTAGTATTAGCATGGAACCATATTTATTTGATTAAGCTTCTGGATTCAGAAACTGTCGTGTTATCACGGTAGGGGTATTGTTGCATTGAGGTTCCTAATAGGATACTGGTGCATTGATGCTGGAATAGGCTTCTTGGTAGGATTGGTTGATTCGTACCAAGAGTTTGGTAACTCGTGATACAGCATATGGCAGGATGCTACCATAGACGGCATGATGCAGAATGTGTATGTGGGTGGGTAGTATTGTATTTCTTGGGCCCGAATCATAGTGTTAATGGCCCCCTGGAACGAACACCTTTATATCGGCCTTGGCAATGCGCGTTTGATGAAGGGTCGGTTTGCATAGAGTGTTTGCGTGATATCTATCTACTGTATTCTGAGAATAACAGCCAGTGGGTAATAAATTCGGTCTGTGAAAAATTATCTACCGAAGCCGAAGCCGGCATCGCAACTTTGAGAGTTAGTTTAGACTTTATCCCTCCTCTCAGACTCTTGGGGAACCGAGGCAATCATTCCAATATTGCTCCATTTTCTCTCTCTCCACTATAAAAGCCTGAACAAGCCTCCAATTAAGCTATCGATTAATGGAAATCCTTTCCGTTGAGAACTGCGGCAATGCGGGTATGCTTTTATGGGGAAGCCACCAGGAATACACAAGAGAGATGCCCGAACTGAACGACGACGAGTCTTCTCGATATTTTGAAGAGAAGGAATAGTCAAATGTGAAGATATCCTGAGTAGAAGTACTGTAGTTAAAGAACTTCCAGCTGCATCAACTTCTTTTTGTTGAACCCTTGCTGATTATCACAAGATCTGCAATGACTGTATTTGAATTACTTCCCCCTTGGGCCTTGGGTTATCACAAATGCAAGCGTATGCACTTGACCCCACACATCCCTAAGTCATGCCTTGCCAACGGGAAAAGAGGGGAGACAACAATTCTGAAATAATATTTGAAATTAGTTAGAAAGTGGTATTTGGAGCCGCCGCCGGAGTGAGTTCGCTTCCATCTACGAGTAGCAGGTTAGCGGGTAGTAGACTAGCGACTCGGTGGAAAGGAGTAGAGAAACAATTAGCTGAATTAGCCAATCAGAAAGGGGGGGAAGGAATATATATTCGTGCATTGGTAAAGTAAATCATTAACCGGGGTAAATAGTTTAATTACACAGGCCATCGCCCCGAATTCAACTACAGCTAAAGACCCAGCTGATCCCCTCTCATCAATTGTCTTACATTTCATTATCTTCTTCATACTTCATTGAGGATTGTAACCACTTGATTTCATAATTTTTTTTTCATATTCACTCCTCTCAACGATACCAATTACTTATTCCAATTTCGTCACCAGCTATTGAACAGACAAAGAAAAGGAGACTACCCTTTTACGACCCCGCATTTTGGTGACACTCAAGACAGCACCAAGCTCGCGGCATAGACCCTTCACTTCAACCTTTACATATCAAACAATTTGCCATACAACACATCCAAACCGTGGCAATGGCTGAAGGAAACGCCAAACCATCTAATCCGGTAGTAGCAGAAGCTCATGATGTCGACACTTTCCGTAGGTTAAAATTTCTAAGCTATCCGTGCCATTGCATTTACTAACCCCTCATGCGCCTACAGATCCCCCACAAAAGATGTTTGCTAGTAAGCCTTCAATTCCGAGACCTACGAGAAGCTGCAGAGCAGTTGATGAATGCCAAATACTAATGAATTCGTGCAGAACATCCAAGCAAACCTCATTTAAGTGGTACGGTTTCTCTTTCCCCTTTTGGCAGAAGACAAGGAAGCTAATAGTGCTAGGAATCGACGAATACAAGGAACTGTACGAGGAATCGATTAAAACACCAGATAAATTTTGGGGTAGATTAGCCCGTGAACTTCTCACTTGGCAAAAAGACTTCGAAACCGTTCACAGTGGATCGTTCATAGGCGGCGACAATGCTTGGTTTCTAGAGGGTCAACTCAATGCTTCATATAATTGCGTTGATCGACATGCAATTAAGAATCCAGACAAGCCAGCTATTATCTACGAAGCTGACGAGGCTTCCGAAGGTCGCACTCTTACATATGCCGAGCTTCTGCGAGAAGTTTGTAAAACTGCATATGTTCTCAAACAGATGGGTGTCAAAAAGGGAGATACTGTTGCGATATACTTGCCCATGATTCCAGAAGCTGTTATTGCTTTCTTGGCCTGTTCTCGTATTGGCGCAGTTCATTCTGTCGTCTTTGCTGGTTTCTCATCCGATTCACTTAGAGACAGAGTCATTGATGCTCAATCAAAGGTTGTTATCACTTCAGATGAGGGCAAGCGAGGTGGAAAATTGATCGGCACAAAGAAGATTGTGGATGATGCGCTGAAACAATGTCCTGATGTCACACACTGCTTGGTTTACAGACGTACCGGGGCTGATGTTCCCATGACTAAAGGTCGTGATTGGTGGTGGCATGAGGAGGTCGAGAAATGGCCATCTTATATCGCTCCCGAGCCAATGAACTCGGAAGATCCATTATTCTTACTCTATACCTCTGGATCAACCGGAAAACCAAAAGGTGTTATGCACTCAACTGCTGGATACCTTCTAGGTGCTGCAGCTACTGGAAAGTACGTATTCGATATTCACGACTCAGATGTATTCTTCTGTGGTGGTGACGTCGGATGGATTACTGGTCACACATATGTTGTTTACGCTCCTCTCCTTCTTGGTGTTGCAACTGTTGTTTTCGAAGGAACTCCTGCATATCCAAATTTTTCCAGATATTGGGATGTCATTGAGAAGCACAAGGTTACACAATTCTACGTTGCGCCTACAGCACTAAGATTATTGAAGCGTGCTGGTGATCACCATGTCAAGGCAGAAATGAAGCATCTGAGAGTACTGGGATCAGTTGGTGAACCAATTGCTGCCGAGGTTTGGAAATGGTATTTCGAGATTGTTGGAAAGGAAGAAGCTCACGTTGTTGATGTAAGACGATTTAAATCATCATTGAAATTAATACTAACATAAAGGTAGACCTACTGGCAAACCGAGACCGGTTCCCATGTCATTGCTCCTCTCGCTGGTGTTACTCCTACAAAACCCGGTAGTGCATCCCTTCCGTTTTTCGGAATTGAGCCTGCGATTATCGATCCTGTTTCTGGAGAAGAAATTCACGGAAATGATGTAGAAGGTGTGTTGGCATTCAAGCAACCATGGCCTAGTATGGCTCGCACCGTTTGGGGTGCACACAAGAGATATATGGACACATACTTAAATGTCTACAAGGGGTACTACGTAAGCTCTCCTTCTCAATTTCTCCTCGCAGTTTACTGATGTAATATAGTTCACCGGTGACGGAGCAGGACGTGATCACGAAGGTTATTACTGGATCCGAGGCCGTGTTGACGATGTGGTCAATGTCAGCGGTCATCGTCTTTCTACTGCCGAAATCGAAGCTGCTTTGATCGAGCACCATGCCGTTGCAGAAGCGGCAGTCGTTGGTATCAACGATGAGCTCACCGGACAAGCTGTCAATGCTTTCGTTGCCATCAAGGATGGTAACGAGGTCAACGATCAATTGAAGAAAGAACTCATCTTACAAGTTAGAAAGAGTATCGGTCCGTTTGCTGCTCCAAAGGCAGTATTTGTTGTCCCGGATTTGCCAAAAACTAGAAGTGGTAAGATTATGCGTAGAATCTTGAGAAAGATTCTGGCCGGTGAGGAGGATCAATTGGGTGATATTTCTACGGTATGTTTGATGCTCCACAGGTCTTTGAATAGATATAGTTATTGACATCAATCCCAGCTCTCCGATCCAAGTGTAGTCGAGAAAATTATCGACACTGTTCACAGCGCCAGAAAGGAGTAAAGAACGAGAGATAAACGGAAGATGAACGGGTTGTTATCAAAGGTTGGAGGAAGGAGTCTAAATCGTTTATTGCTTATGATACATGCCATGCTAGTTTCTATTTTCCTTGCAGCCATTGGACTCGGCCCTGAAGGGATTGGCCTGAAATATGTTAGCAATGTTAGGAATGTTGGGGTTGAATTATTCTTGGGAACTATTGAATAAATTTTGGTATCGGTTGGTCTCATCGGGATATCAGGGTTTAGGTCATTATTGATAGGTATCTATCTACATGAGTACTGTATAACGAATCAAGAAACCTCTTATATTATATCTTATCTGCTGCTCAGCCTGCTCTGCCCGCATACGTGATACAAGAAACATAAACCCCGAATCGGCTTTGATAATTGCAACTGAAATAGCATGAGATTAGATTGGTTTGGATTGGTAAGATAGATCCACGCAACTTCTCCGAAATTCGACAAGCCGGATCGCCCCATGCCGAAACGTTTCTTGGCTCTCCACAGTGAAAGGTCTTGGCTGGTGTTGATTTGATGAGAGATGTTGGGATATTGACATAGCCTCGTTTGGAAAGCTGATGATTATTGTGTTGGAGTGGGTGATGGGTGGGTGGTACGTGGATGGGCTTGGGGTATGTAGGTAGTAGGTAGTGAGTAGTAGGTACTGACTGGTTGGAGGTTGATGATGGATGATGGATAATATGTAGTGAGTAGTGAGAAGTGAGAAGTGAGTAGTTATTAGTGATGTGATCGGGGGAGTCGTCGGATTTAAGAGTTAGGGTTAAGATGGAGGTTGAGGTCAGGGATTGGGTAGGGGGGGTATGAGGGTTATGGGTGGAGCATGAGTGGGTTGGGGTGTGAAGATTTGATATGGAGGTCTTGTGTATGTACTATGTATGTGTGTATTTATATGCTGGAAAAGAGGGGAGTTGTGCATTCTGAGGTTTCCTCGTCTCGTAGAGACTTTGACTGCAAACTACTAGAAGGGTCCATGTACAGACCAAACTATACTGGATATGTAGTCTTGAAAATAGTTTTTTCAATCCAGATCTGAAAACTATATATCTCTGATTAAATCAAAAAGTTAGGAAATAATTTTGATATATAATTAATAAGTTTTTATAACTACTCGAGTACACAACAGGATGATCTCGCTTAGGCCTAAAATCTATAAAAACATACATTTATATATAATTATTATTTCTATTTCTTATTGTCTTTGCACAGATCCCTTTAGTAGTTTGTGGTCAGAGTCTCTACGAGACGAGGAAACCTCAGAATGGGAGTTGTGAGAATGGTATGTGCTTGTGTCTAATCTGTGAGACGAGGGGGTTTTTGATAGTTGTGGGTTTACTGGCTGGCCTTCTTTCTATGTTATCTAGGATGTTATCTAGGAGGCTGGAGGTATGATTTTCAGAGGGAGTACTGTAGGGACTTTGGATTGGATTGCCGGGCTATGCTGCTTGCTTGCAATTGTGTGTCTGCCTGAAAGCTGTGTGATTAAATCACGGGATTCTCACGGGGTGTTGGGGGCTAGATTCTTTGTTGCGAATTCGATGGTATTTGTATGTGATATGCTCAGCAGCTGTAGGGGAAGTAGATAGATGTGTGATAGTCCGGTTATAGAGTGAGTTTGTTCCCAATATTACCCTTAGAATGTATATCCACTGTTTCGAGAACTTCAGAACATTCGAGTCTAGCATGTAGTTTTGTTTCATTTCATCTCATCTTGTCCCGAGTGCTACCTTGTCATACCATACAGTGACTTCATAGGGAACGGAGATGGATGGATTGGGGTTGCAACGATAGTGATGTTACCCCAGCTTCACTCCTTTGATAAGGCGTGTGGGAGTGCGAGGGGCAGTGGTTCTTTGATCGAGGTCAAGAATTGGGTTGCTCCGCCACATTAGATGAATAGATTGCCACCATCTAGATTCCAGATGGAAGGAGAGTTTGACAATTGAATATTTCAGATTTTCGTAGGAAAACAAGCTCATGTTTTGGATCCATTGATAATCAGCCAAGAGATTCTTTTCCATGGCTGCATCCCAAAAGACTTTATTTCTTCTGGGTCTCCTCGTATTGACTTGCCGGACTTCCAGCACACCAAAATACATGTAAACAAAAACTCAGCCACCATTGAATGTATATGTATTGAAAGGGGGAAACTCTCTTCATATGCATATCCAACAATTACTCAAACACTTGGAGAGTTGAATTAGACGCCAAATACACAGAAGAAAAGACGAGAAGAGAAGTCTTGAGTGTTTGAGGGCTGAAACGACATTTGAACGATATCCTCGTCTCAATCAATAATTGCTGTGCTAGGAGGATTTAATTGGACTATTGTCTACAGATTTATTAGACGATTCCAAAACTTTCCGCCTATACTCGAGTAGTCAGTCATTCATTGACTTTTCCTCATTTTCCTCACAAACATTCATTCACAAACCTTACCTCAACTCAACTTACCTTACGAACCACATTCACCATCGCTTTGATTCAATAACATTTCCAGTCGCTCTTTTGTGTTTAAATTTGGTCGAATCGAATAATAGGATATTAATTTGGACACCTCAGGGACTTCTTCACCAACTCTGCATGAGATACCTAGTCAAGGGTACAACTTTCTTTTAGTTCTTGTACTGCGGTACGAGGGGGACCTGGTATACTCTCACCAGGCTGTGCCTCAGCCCCATTGCGACGAATAACTGTGAGGACAACAGCACAACAATTGTACACAATTATAGATCATGTACATACTGAGGAGTATAGTCGTACTCACGACTTTGTTCGCAGATTTAATAAATGGTATGTTTATATCTTTCAAACTATTCTTTTCGCGATCCTTCAAGTCGATCTCTTCAAATATGGCAACTTCTCCCGACAAGCCAACAGCCTTAAATATGGAGAAAAATCAAAAGCTAATGGATTAACCTTAAAGCACACTCTAATGAAAGAAACCCTTTGACATATATTTCATATGTCGATACTCCGGATATTAGAACGCCGTCACATCGAGTACATGCCTTGTCGAGTTTTGATGTCGTATTTGGATTACATGGAGGAAACCAACGAGTGAAGCTTACATTGAAGCCGAATCATGATGTTATTGCGGATGGGGCGACGATACAATATTTGGCCCCGGATGGAACAGTGAGGCGTAAGGAAACCATTGATAGATCATCGCATCGAGTGTTTAAAGGTTCGACATGGCTACAACATTATGAAGGTGCGGAGTGGACGAATGTTGGATGGGCGAGGATCATGGTGAAAAAGGATGGAGATGATCCTATATTTGAGGGTGCATTTAGGTTGGATGGTGATCATCATCATATTCAGACGAGGACAAGTTTTATGTCTACGAAACATGCATTGGATCCGTCGTTACCGAATGAAGAAAAGGAATATATGGTTGTTTGGAGGGATTCTGATATTGGGAGTGGGTATACCGAAGACAATGAAGGACTCATGCACCCAGACTTGAGAAGAAGCGCGAGGGAAGATCCATCATGTTCAGCAGATGGACTCATTTTCAACTCGATGAATAATCCGATCAACAACTATGAGCCGATGGCGAAACAGGAAGAGGGGTTCTGGGGATCAATCTCAACTAGAGCTATATACGGTCGACAAATCGATACACAATCTGGTGGAAATTCGGCAGGAGTCAATCTCGTTTCGACTGTCGGATCATCAGCCGGATGTCCTTCTACTCGAAAGGTAGCTCTCGTGGGTATAGCTACTGATTGCACATATACGGCTGCCTTCAATTCCACAGAAACGGCTCGAGAAAACGTCATTCAGGTTATCAATTCTGCTTCGGTGCAGTACGAGGATAGCTTTAATATCACATTGGGTCTACAAAATCTTACGGTCAGCGATGCTGCATGCCCTGCTACTGCCGCCTCGTCGGCTCCATGGAATGTGGGATGTAGTGATAGTGTTACGATTCAGGATCGATTGAATCTATTTTCTGCGTGGAGGGGTGAACGAGCCGATACTAATGCCTATTGGACTTTGCTTAGTACTTGTGGTACTGGAAGTGTGAGTTTTGTTCTCTAATTTTGTGTTGGTTCAGGCAAGAGGATATTCATGGAAAACATCTACCAGACATTTGTCAGTAATCTCATTACGCGTTTGCTAATATTTAATGTCTAGGCTGTCGGATTAGCTTGGCTTGGTCAAGCATGTGTTACGGATGCACAAGTGGCCTCAACGTCATCCGGTAATGAAACTGTCAGTGGTGCCAACGTGGTTGTCAGAACGAGTACCGAGTGGCAGGTTCTTGCCCATGAGACTGGACATACATTCGGAGCCGTCCATGATTGTACATCGTCGACTTGCTCTGACGGGCAAACGGTCGCAGCGCAGCAATGTTGTCCTCTTAATGCACAAACATGTGATGCTGGGGGAGCGTATCTGATGAACCCAAGTACTGGAACTGGCATCTCTAAATTCTCGCCTTGTACCATTGGAAACATATGTTCGGCCATTGGAAGAAACAGCGTCAAAACCAGTTGTTTAACAGCCAACAAAGATATTACTACAATCACTGGAAGTCAATGTGGTAACGGAATTGTAGAAAAGGGGGAAGAGTGCGATTGTGGTGGCGCTAGTGGCTGCGGAAGCAATAGTTGTTGTGATTCAACCACTTGCAAATTTACGACAAATTCGGTTTGTGATCCTAGTAATGAGGATTGTTGTACAAAAAGCTGTCAATTTGCGTCAAGTGGTACGATATGTCGTGCTAGCACGGGTGTCTGCGATCCTCAAGAAGTATGTAGCGGAACTATCGCTACATGTCCTGTAGATGCTACCTCTCCTGATGGTAAGATTTTCTCACATCTTCATTATCTCAAGCTATACTAACTCATCATGATAGGAACGTCTTGTGGCAATTCTTCTTCATTGGCCTGCGCTTCAGGTCAATGTACTTCGCGCGATCTTCAATGCAAAACAATAATGGGGTCATACACTACAGGCAACGATACATATGCCTGTTCCTCATCAGGCTGTCAAATCTCTTGTGCTTCTCCCGAATTCGGGGCTAACGTCTGCTACTCGATGCAGCAAAACTTTCTCGAAGGGACCGCATGTCAAGGTGGTGGCAAATGTTCCAACGGTGAATGCAAGGGAGCTTCCGTGGGTAAAGAAATCACATCCTGGATTCAAGAACACAAAAATCTCGTTATAGGTTTGGCTTCTGCCATCGGCGCTCTAATCATATTTGGTCTACTTAGTTGTATAATAGGCAGAGTTAGAAGGAAGAGGGCAATTAGACTGGCAAAGGAAAGAGCGGCTAATCAACCACAAGGGTGGCCACAAGGCCCTGGGATGTGGCAAGCTCCTGCTATGTCCGGTGCCAGAAGTGGAAGGGGCGCAAGAGGTGCTAGCGCCCCCGATGGAGGGAGTTGGATAGATGGTAGATGGAGGCAAGCTCCTCAACCGCCTCCCGGGGCGTGGCAGCCGAGTGTTAGGTATGCCTGAGTTTGGGTATGGATGGGTATGGGAGTAGGTGCATTTTATACACATACATATGCATGTGTTTTGGATTGTATTGGATTGGATTGGATTTTGGCATAGGGTAGGGTAGGGTATGGTACGGCGTTGGGGATGGGGATGAAATTTCGTTTCGCGGTCTATAAAATAAGGATATGGTATATGATTTATAATATACCTACTATCGGGACTAGCAGAGTTTGGATTCATTATACAGCACAGTTTAACATATTAGATTATGGTGTCAAAAGGTGGAGGGGTATGGAAAAGATTTTATCTTTATATGGTGGTGTTGTGTTGAGGTGTTAATGTGAATGTGAATGTGATTGTGATTGTGAAATGAGAGGTAGGTCTTGTCTTGTTGGACCTGATGATGATGATGATGATGATGATGATGATGGTGTTTGAGGTATATTTAAGGGATATCGATTGAGCAGAAATAGGCGGGTGAGTGAAGTTGCTTTGGATGGAGTGGAGCTTTGCTGTATGTGTATGTGTATGTGTATGGGAGGGAGAGGGAGTGAGAGTGGGGGTGGGACTGGTATGAGAGTGGTTATGAGAGGAAGAGGAAGAGCAGAAAATGAGGGATGTAGTGAGGAAAGGATTGGGTTGATTGATGAACTGGTTGATGGATGGATTGATTGATGGATGGGATGATGGATAGGATGATGGAAGGCGGGAAGGGGGAGAGGGGAAGGGGGGAGAGAAGGGAGGATACTACGGCGGGGTTTGTAGGGTTATGGGGTGAGAGATGGAAGATGGAAGATGGAGGATGCCAGGTTGAGCATGCTGACAGAGATGCGACATATAATAAATTATAACCCCAAGGATCTACCGGTATTCACCCCAACCTCTAACCCTCTTCCCCCATTCCCCCTTATATATAGCTTTCTCTCTCTCAATACTCAGACCCGAGCCCAAGCCCGAGCCCGAGCCCGGGGTACAGTACCCATTACCCAAACAGAATCTAGATTGGAAATGTGACCTTGAAATTTTGGTTTGAGGTAAGGTGCTAGGGGCTACCTACGTCGTGGGTTATTTATGTGATGGATGGATAGATGGTAGATGGTAGATGGGTAGGTTTTGTTTGTATGGGGGTTGGGATTGGGATAGGGATTTGGAATATGGGGTGAGAGGTGAGAGAGAGGTGAGAGGTGAGAGGTGAGTAGGAAGTAGGAAGTAGGAAGATGGATTTGCTAATAATAATGTTTGGAGAGTTGATTTGGTCTGTTTGTTTGGATACTGATACTGGGGTGCGTGCATGCATGCTTTGATAGTGATTGGGATTGGGGTGTCGGTGTGCATGGGATATGATTAGAATAGATACTCGTTTGGTGGGGAGGGAGGAATACTAGTCATGTAATATGTTTGTCGTCTTGGAAATACCAGATTGTTAGTCCTATGGAAATGATCGTTCATTTGTATGTATACTAGCCTCGGGAGTCAATTCCTCGATTCCTTGATTACTATTGCGAACTGATGCATGATCCTAGGTATAACCATGAACCCCTCCCTTCATGCTATCATATCCTGTCTAATCATATACTGACTCAGGAGCCACATTATTGCTGTTGAATCTGCGGTTCAATGCTTAAAAGAAATCATTGACTATGCCTTCAACCTCTTCGGGCTTGAGACCTGAATATCATAGAAAAATCATCAGCCCAGAGTCTCATAAATTCACTTATTTGATCTTCACTAATTGAAGTTTACTTCATCCACTTCATCCACTATATATATTCATCCATACATTATAGCCTCATCTAACTGAAGTGAAGCCAAAGTCTCCAGGCGAAAAAACTTAGCTAGAAGCCCCACCATCCCTTGAACTCGAGCCCGTTTCCACCATCCCTGCATCAGCTAACTCACGTTTTTGTGCGATCTTTTTGAGCTGAGCTAGGCGGCGTTCAGAAGCTTCGGCTTCTTGGGTGGAGGTCGGGACGCGCCCTGAGAGGCGTGCGAGGAAGTGGAGGCGGGTTGCGGGGATGGACTAGGTAGGAGGGGGTTAGGTCATATCTGTGGGGAAAGGGGAACGGGGAGGAATGGGGTACAAACGGCGTTTCTGGCCTGTGCGTGCATCATCAACAACTCGGGGTTATCGAGTACGGCTACGGCTTCTCTCCGTGTTATCACGGTGGTGTACGATTCATTCCCAAATCTGAGGTTCGGATTAATTATATTAGAAATATCCCATCAATTGCCTGTCCCATCCTCTCATATTTATATACCCGCGTCTCCCACGTTAACGCACTATTTGAATCAAGACATCAAGAAGCCAAAAAGGCATGAAAAACGTGGAATCCAAAACATACAAATCATAACTCCGTCCAGTCAACTCCTCATCAGAAGATTCACCTTCATAATTAACATCGTCGGGCTCCTTGTTTCGTGCTTGTTGATCTTGTTTGAGACGCGTGAAGCTGGAGGTTTGGGAAGTAGAACCCGAGGTGCGGGAAGGTTTGGAGCTGCTATTATTGGGTTTGGGGGGTATGGAAGACTGGGCGCGGGAGTTGGTAGAGAGGTTGGAGGAGGTGCCGGTGGGGTGATTCATGGTTGGGTGGTTTGTGAAGATTGGTGGGTGGATGCTATGGTATGGAATTTGAAGGATTGGAAATTATGATCATGTGGGTGTGGGTGTGGTGTAGATGTAGATGGGTTAATTGGAATTGAAGACTGTTTTCTATAAAGTATCAGACCAGACTCAGTTCTTCAAGAGATCTCTAGATTGTCTTGATGCTTGGGGAAGGAGCAGGTGGTGGGATGATATTGACAGGGTGTGACAGGCCAATGCGTTACACTACAGTAGGTAAAGCCCTTTGATTACTAAGCTTTTACTGTCACTATAGAGCTTTAATGTTGACCGTAATCAGACGACATCTAATTTGTGCAATGTTAAGTGATATTGTTCACAATAATAACTACAACTTCTGAAGTGTTCTTGATAGTTATGAGACTGGAAGATAGAAGAGCCTTTTGTAACTGGGGCAGAAAATGAAGGGTTGTGAGTTGAGAAGGGTTGATATACCATCAAATGGTAGGGCTGATGAAGGGGTACTTTTTGCTTCATTGGAATTCTGCGTCTAATTGTACGGGTTTGGTGTATGATCTCTTGCATATGCTCCTTGTTAAAAAATCCCTTTTTACTAAAGCCCAGTTTGACCCTATATCTAATCTCCCTACATTTGCTGTTGGCATTCTGTTCTCAGGGAAATCAGAGAAAGGTCCTGATGTAGCTCTCAAATTTGTCTTTTGCAATAAGAGTAGGCCCGAGTAAAGCAAATGATGTCAGATGAAATTCTATCTGGGCAAACCTCATGTTCTTCAACTTGTATGCGGGCTGCGGCAGAGCTTTCCACTACCAACATCTGATATTGAGTCCAGAGCACCAAGCGAATTGATACTCCCTATATCATTGTGGACTCCCCACACAGAATTGTGAGTTGGCTGGTGCTGGTAGTAAGATGTATGATGTTATTGAGTATGGAACACAGTTCATAGTGATTGACAGATTGGCTTTACTCAAAATATCTCACCCCTAGTCGGGTGTTCGATCCAAGGTGACAGTCTTCATTCAATACCTGTTTATAGTTCTGATAGCTATCAGTCCAAATCTAGTATTAAATGGAATAAACATATCAGGGTGCAATCTTCAGATATTGGTATTTGTGGTACCATTCAGCATTTTGAGCACTCACGTCCACATTTTACAAATAAGACCAGTTCAAAAGATTCACTAGTTGAGACAAAGTATGGAGACAAAGTATGGTCTGCTAAGTACCATTCATGCTTCAGATATGTGAGCCTATCTCAGACTGTCCTCTGTGCCTGAAGCGTGATATTTCTCAGTAATTTCATACTCTGAGGTTGGATCAAATCAAAATCCAGAGCAAGCTATCTGGTAAGTGCAAAATCATGCACTGGCTTTCAATGCTACATGTATAGAAGAGTAATCATATAAGAGTCCATCACTAGCCGTAAACACCACTGTCAATATAGGTAACCTTTTTTCTAAATAATCAAGGACTTCCCAAATGGCTTGATTGATCATTTTCACAACACCATGGAGATATACTAAAGCCTCCTGGGGCTAATACAATAGACTAAACAAACATTCAGTATGACTCTTCAGAATCTCTGTATCTCCTCATACACAGTTGCTCATACACTTAAGTCAATAGTCACTGCTTTTGGAAGCCTTTCTGGTAACATTTGGTGCTTTCAATGTGAGATCCTAAAATCGAACCACTTGCTCCAGCATGTCAAGACTCATTCACTCTGAGTTCACCAATCGTGATTGAGAGTTTGTGTACAAATAAGTCCCAATTAGGTATCGGGCTTGACTCCAAGCGAAGGTATTGATAAATATACTGACAGTGTGTCTCGGCTCTTTATCCAAGTATATTGTTCTTCTCCTCACCATCACAAAACTATTGACAAGATGGATCAATCGCCTCAGTACATCAGATGTCATGGAAATGGTTCAAAGTGTGAGTGAGTTCTTTGTATATATCTACTTGATGTCTTGTTGTTTTGACAGAAATGCTAACACAGCTCAATAGTGGCAGTCGATTGGAACAAATCAGTGACTCAAACCAATCGAACCAAAAAAAGTCTGCTGGCTTGTGAGTGAAATCTGGCGACAGACTATGCCTCATCAAAGTTCCTAATTTCATCCAATCGAACAGCGCACAATTCGAGAGACAAAGGTCTCGGCGCACTAAAAATTGACTTGGCTGCTGGTATGTTTTAACTTTATTTTCACTTTTCTTGGACTTCTGCCAATTCTTAATTTACTTGCTAATAACAAACAGGACTATCTGATATTCGAACCAAGGTTGAATCAGAGCATAAAGGTTTGTTTTGTCTTTGATTGAGCCAAGGCTCCTTGAAAATAACTTACTATACAGAGTTTTTTGAAATGGTCGCGCAGGAACAAGTCTTCAAGATGCAACCAACGCAAGAATTCGCATATAATAAGATGCGTGGTAAGGGTCTCGGTACTCAGCCCGTATTTCCACCACCACAAGCTCCTCTTGGGGATAATGAGGATTATAGACTTTCGGGGGATGTTGAGGAGTAAGTCATGTATCCCATTGCTTGTGATCGATTGTAATCCTTATTTACTAGCAATCTACAATCTGGCGTCAAGTATTATAAAATCGCTCCAGAATCCGAATTTACGAGCAGTTCAGCTCCCGATAAGCTTGCGGAAGGAATCAATCGAATGAACATTGAAGAGCGTCCAAGATGCGAGGTTATTCTCGATTTGAAAGGTGACGAAGGAGAAACCAACAACCACTACAAGGGCAAACAGGTCTGGGGAAACTTTGGCTACCTCTACGTCAATGGAACCTGGGTAGATCCTGACAGTGAGAAGGATTTGGCGCAGGCATTCAGGGGTTACCCGGCTTTGCTACCAGAAGAACTCGAGGGTGCCAGAGCCAAAGATAAGCGGATAATGAGCCCGGCCCAGATGGAAGAAATTTACAAATTTTTCAATGACTATGTCTCTGACGACGAAGGAGACCCCCGGGACAATCGACTATCGCCAGAGGAGTTTCAGAAAATGACTCGTGGTGCAGCCAGTGAGGGTAAAGGTGATACGTGGGCCAGAGCAATTGTCGCTCCGCAAGTAAGTAGATGGCACTACCTTAGAATACAAGTAGCTGATATCCCTTGGCCTAGGAGAAATATACGGAGAGACCTCGCGAGCCACGCAATCCTAAGATACAGTATGGACATGACAATCTGTTGCCGCCACAAATAGATAAGGACACTGGCAGCTATTACTCCGGCTATGGAGGTGACAATTCGGATACGGCCAGCCTTCTTCTTTCGGCAGCTGGTTAGTATCTACTCGCCATTCTTGTGATGATTGGTGGGATCTAATGCTATACTTCACAGGCGTTGACATCCTTCGAAGACCCGAGCACTTCAATCGCATGGACCCTCAAACCGATATGAACATACTCGCCGAGGCGTATGGCAGCCCCAATGCCTTTAAAGACGACAGTGGTTGGTCTGATACAACGACACTCCCGGTTTTCAGCATGGTGAGCGGAAGATTTTTCTTCCCATATCCTTATGGAACTGACACGTAGACAGAAAGCAGCTGCCAAAGCCATCACTGGCGACATTCCTGGTCTTACCGATATAGAACGCGAATCATACCTGGCTGAAATGACACTCAGGGGAGAGGCACATTTTCAACATAGCCAATGGATGGCACAAAATAGAGACGAGCTCAAATCGGAGAAGATGATTGCTTTCAACGGATTGGCAGCTTGTATGAAGGAGCTTTACTTCATCAAGAAGTGGCTGGATGAAAACCCTACAAAAGCCAACGCTGAAACCCGTCATTTGGTTTATTCGATCGATTTGGACACACCATTCAGACGTGCTGAACACACCATGATCAGCAAAGAGGATTCTGCCTCCATGACTGCCGCTGATCCATCTCTCCAAGGACTCAGTTACGAAGACCGTACATACATGCGTTTGATAGAGGATATCTATCACGGCACCAACAATCTCACGTTACATCTTCAGAATCAGGTCATGGTCTGGAGTACTACCAAAGCTGAAGTCGAGACAAAGATTGGCGAATACTATTTCTTGCGAGAACGAATCATGGCAGCCTCTGGTATGACCAACGATTTCATCGCAAGTCTCACCCCTATGAGTGCCCCCAGAACCCCTCGTATCAACTTTTAGAATTCTTCCTGGCTCAAGCCAAGCATATCTTCGTTTCTCGTTAAGCTCGGGCAATACTCCTCGCTTTAGATACCCTTCCACGGAGCTTTGCTTCTCGCTCGATATTCGATCACTACGTGCTCAGCCTCGTCGATATTCTTGGAAAGAAAGATCTGGCTTTTCATGGCATTTATCTTGGGGATTTTAAATGCTCCACTTTGGTGTTTTTTTTTTCACCTCTTGCTTTTACTTTTTCTCGCAGATTGACTTACCAGTACATAAATACTGTTCCCTTTTTTCGGATTGCTTATGATGAATCTACTTTATGGTTTCCTCATGGCAGACGTATTCTACGGTTTTACGATGGAAGAGTCGAAGTTTCACCGATCAATTCCTTGCTACTTCTTTGCTACTTCGTCATCTTCGGGCTCTACTTTTCGTCTTTAGGTCTTGGGGTCTCTGGGTATATCATGGTGTTCCTCAATCTCAACCTTAACCCACAAGTTCTGCGCATATGATGCATTTGTTCTGGACCAAGGGTTCAATGGGTGGATTCTATCTTCGAATTGCTCTCGTTCACCCCATTCCAACACTTGGGATTTGAATAATTTGGATGGATGGATGGATGGGTGGATACATACTCTTACTCTTATACATTTTTCTTTTCCTCTTTTTCTTTCCTTTCTCTCTGCTTTTCTTTCAATTTCGGTTCTCAACTACAGGTTTCTTTTTTTCTTGTTCATGGATGAGATGGATATCCGGTGGAAAGGCGGTGCAGCCAATCTAAGTAGATAATTCATACGGTAGATAGATAATGATAATAATGAAGATAATGATGGCGCATAGCAACGGCAGTGATGAATGCTTGCTAGGTAGATTATGCCATGAGATGAGATGAGGGCAAGCAACGTGACGTAACGTAACATCACGTCGAGATGGGAGGTGGGACGTCCAGTAGTATATGAGTGTATGCCAATTGGGAATATTGTACAAGTCCCGCTGGAGTACTATGGGATTTCTTCTTTCTGATTTTCTTTTCCTTTGATTTTTGGTTTTTGGTCTTTGTTTGGTCTCTGGTCTTTGGCTTTTAATGAAAGGTATGAAAGGTATTAGTACCTATATCTTGAGGTAGGTAAGTAGGTAGATTAGAATAGGATAGGAGGGGAAAGGAGAGAATAAGCATATACCTACTCGAGTACTGTAATTGAGCGGAGGAAAGTCGGATACTAGATACTAGATACCAGATGAATGATAGTTAAGAAACACTCAATCTCAACTTCAATTTCAACCACAAGTAGAATGAAGATTCAAATTACTACAGCAAAACCTCTCTATAAGGATACTTTTTTTAGCGCCAAAAATAAGGATGTTTGGAGGTATCCTTATATCAAGATTTTATAGTAATCACGTGTATTGCTGTATCCAAATCAAGGTCTGATTTTGATCACGTGCTATTACCTACATTGGCTAAGTTCCGATTTTATCCGAGGGCTTTCTAGTCAGATTCCTTATTCTTATAGAGAGGTTCTCTAAGCCCCATTTAAAATTAGCTCCACTTAGCTTTCATTATTGATACGCCCTCGACCCATCCCTATGACTTGTTATCTTTAATATGATGACACTCATGCTTAAGTCCGCCCAGCCACCCACGATTATATTCTATTTCATCTAACCAGTCAATCTCATTTTGTACAACAGTTAAAAGATAATGTATCATCAAAAACTCAATTTTCTAGAAAGATAGATAGATGGATAGATGGATAGATAGATGGACGAAGAGTGTGTGTGGAAACTTGAAAGGTATATTGTATATCCCGGGTGGCTGCTGCGTTTTAGGAACATGAGAATATTGTCGTGTGCTAGTATAAAAAAGTGATGATTTCTGTATACTCGGCGGGGCTTTAAAAGACGCATAGGCGAAAATCAAAATACATACCACTAGCTTATTTCTTTATATAATTTTGTGAAATTTTTAGTATTTCATTATATTTCATTAAATAATCTATAGATAAGATTTGATTCAAAACGAATACGATTTGAGATAATTATAATCAAT